GTCGCTCATAGTTTGGAGAGGAGGTAAGGTTTCAATGTCATCTGTATCCAATTAGAGAATGTAGAGAATGAAACGAAGTATCAGTATTGCAAGAAGTACATAAACACATGAGAGAGTTTGAGACAGATCTCAACACACGACACATAGACACATTAATTGAGCAAAAAGCTGTAGTCCGGGTTCCTTTTTAAAGGGAGATCCGTGATGTCAGATGCATGGACGTGAATGGATCGGCTAAACTCGGAAGTCAGACGGGTTATGCCAATGAGACTGAAAACAATATGGCGGTATAACGAAATTGCATGGAAGAATCCTGACGTCTTCAATGGCTGCACGAATGTTGCTGGATATTGGCAGGACCTGGAACATGCTGTTGTATACGCCGATCCAGAGCATTCTAAACATGCTCAATGGGTGACATGTCCAGTGAGTATGCTGGCCATGCAAGAACTGGGATGTTTTCATCTTCCAGGAATTGTGTACAGCTCCTTGCAACATGGGGCCGTGCAGTATCATGAGGTGATGGTCGTGGATGAATGGGACAACAATGGGCCTTAGAATCTTGTCACGGTATCTCTGTGCATTCAAAATGCCATCAATAAAATGCACCTGTGTTCGTTGTCTATAGCATATGCCTGCCCATACCATAACCCCACCGCCACCAATAGGCGACTAGATCGACAACACTGACATCAGGAAACCGCTCACCCATATGACACCATACACACTGTCTGCCATCTGTCCTGAACAGTCAAAACTGGTATACGTCCGTGAAGAGAACACCTCTCCAAAGTGCCAGATGCCATCAAATGTGAGCATTTGCCCACTCAAGTCAGTTACGACGACGAACTGCAGTCAGATCAACACCCCGATGAGGACGACGAGCATGCAGATGAGCTTCCCTGAGATGGTTTCTGACAGTTTGCGCAGAAATTCTTTGGTTATGCAAACCGATTGTTGCAGCAGCTGTCTGTGTGGCTGGTCTCTTGAAGATGCTGGATGTGGAGGTCCTGGGCTGGTGTGGTTACACATGATCTGCGGTTGTGAGGCTGGTTGGCTGTACTGCCAAATTCTCTGAAAAGCCTTTGGAGACAGCTTATGGTAGAGAAATGAACATTCAATTCACGGGCAACAGCTCTGGAGGACATTCCTGCAGTCAGCATGCCAATTGCATGCTCCCTCAAAACTTGAAACATCTGTGGCATTGTGCTGTGTGATAAAACTGCACATTTTAGAGTGGCCTTTTATTGTGGCCAGCCTAAGGCACACCTGTGCAATAATCATGCTCTCTAATCAGCATCTTGATATGCCACACCTGTGAGGTGGATGGATTATCTCGGCAAAGGAGAAGTGCTCACTAACACAGATTTAGACAGATATGTGAACAATATTTGATAGAAATAGGCCTTTTGTGTACATAGAAAAAGTCTTAGATCTTTTGAGTTAAGCTCATGAAAAATAGGGACAAAAAAAGTGTTGCTTTTTAAATTTTGTTTTAGTTTTGTTTTAGTTATTTCCTGCTGGGAATATACTATATATTATAACGGCCTGTGGGGATTTGCATTGTCCCCCTTTTGTTCAAGGCACTTGCAGCCTGGCTCTATTCTGCTATCACTGAGTCTATACCAAAAGTTCTGGCAGCTTTCAATGAACAATCTTCCAATGTCACCAATCGTCCCCACTCACCACTACTCTGATTCCAAGTACTCATATCTCTTTGAACAAGAGGGAGCCCCTGTCAAACACCCCATGAAAAGGGATAGCGCCTTGGCAGGCAAGGATACGGCTCTTGCAAAGGCTTTAAAATTATCCCTGCCACCTACTTTGCAGGAGGATTTAGACCATTTAGAGGGTTTTCTTCCCAGATCCTTCAGTGTGATGAATATTGCACTAAATATTCTGATTAGGATCTCCTAGTGAACACAAACACATCAATATTCCTCGACATCAGAATTTGTCAAATTGTCCTATATTATCAATCTGACAAACCCTAATGATAGGGACTCCGGCAAACAAAAATCCCAAGATCCATCTACTGACGCCCTCCTTGGGCAACCACTTTTTTGACCAACCTTTTCTTGACCCTAGAGTTATTCGGCATCCTCACTGCTCTGAATGGGCACCTCCAGAACATATTGCAAACTTTGTAAACTATGGCTTCGCGATCCCTTGGAAAAAGAAATCAGAGCCAAGTTAAGGACCGAATACCCCAATCCCACGTAAAGTTGCATTGATTCCAGAATTTGACCATATGCTCATCCCTCCATGGTCGCAGTGCTACAGGTAATGGACGCATCTTATTTCAATGTACCTATTGCAGGCCGCTTAACCCATTTTTTCATACAGTGAAAAATGCTCTCTCAGAACCAATGGATCCTACACACTGTCAAGGAATTCCGAAAAGATTTTGTATCCTTTACCATTCAAAACATCTTCCAAATGGCACTTTGGATGTCCTCGTCAAGCAAGGCAACCTTACATGCAGAACTATACAAACTACTGAAGAAGAAAGTGATCGAACAATCACCTTTCCCATGTACATTTCTCAGCAACATGCTTCTAAACAGACAGGATCATGATCCAAACTGCTCTCTGACCTCATGAAGGTTCTCTATCAGTCTTGTCTAGACAGAAATCTTTCCATTCAAGTGAAATGCCTATGACAATCTGGTTGCACATAGGTTTTTCCATCACTGGAGGGATGGCAGCAATTGGCAGCTAGATCCTCAAATGTTTTACCACATTCATCTCCATTTAGGACCCCTCACTCTGGATCTATTTATATCTTGGTTGAATCATCAGACAGAACTTTGTTCAGGTGGTTGACAGACCCTCTCTCCCCGGCAACTGATGCGTTGCTGTGGCTACTGACAGGAGAATATGCTTACTCTCCCTTCTCCATGATCCAGTGAACTCTCCACCAAATCAGATTTCAAAGAATCTTGATAGTCCTGCTAACTTATTTAAAGAGAGTGCAGACATGCTTCCCCACTCTTCTGGAACTGTTGATAGACTACCCTCAACTATTGCCTCAGAACATAGATGTACTCAGGAACCCGGCAGAAGACTTTCATCCACCCGCCCTGTCAAGCACAGCTTAGTTCAGCTGGTGTGTGGGAAGGGATATTGATGACTTTTCAGCTTCTCGCACTCGTGTGAGTAAAAATGTAACTTCTTATCTTCGTTATTTGACCAAGGCAAATCACATCTTTCCACTTGTGATTCATAAGGGTGATATTTTGTATTGTATACTTATCTGTTTCCTTCCACCCACCCACACATGATGATTGCAGCTGTTCATTGCCGATTACATACCATACACAATGTGTCTGCACTTCAGCAACGTATCCTATATTGCACTTTATTTTGTTCACATGACACTTCTTATTTGGTGGTAAAATAATCTTTAGATGTGATATGATTCACTGTTTATCTGGAGGTATACTCCTATTGCTTGGTTCCGGTATAATTTAGTGATATTTCTCTTGTGAACCTTTTGCTACTTGGTGTCAGATACTGGGAGACTCTTTCAGTGAATGGTATATAAAGTATGTTGCGTAACGTTTATATTCAATTCTTTGTACAAGTGATGGATGAGTGTGTTAGGGAATATGGTTAACTTGTTTGTTTACACACCATTAGATTTGATCCGGTATCACTGCTCCTGGGTAATTGTTTTGGGCTAATTGGTTGGAACTGGTAACGTGATTTTTGCATCTTAGGTATTTAAGGGTGTGTGTGGTAAGTAACAGTTATCCTGACTAAAGTCTTTCATAGACTGAAACGTTAATGTAATGGGACTCTGCTCATAATAAATATTTTCTTTTGGTTGAAAAGTCCAGTGAGATGTCTCCTTCATGATCATTATATATATATATATATATATATATATATAACATTGAACTAATCAAATTAGGAATGTGAGATGTAGTGTATAGAGTTGAGCGGACACCTGGATGTTCGGGTCTGGCGGGTTCAGACGAACTTTAAAAAAAATCTGGGTTCGGGCTCAAACTTGACCCCAAACTTGACCCCGAACCCCATTGAAGTCAATGGGGACCTGAACTTTTGGCCACAAAAATGCCTCTAAAAGACTCCTGGAAAGAGCCAGTGAGCTGCAAAAGCAAGTAAAATGGGGGTAAGAGTAGGACAAGTGCCCTGCAAACAAATGTGGATAGGGAAATCACTTAAAATAACATAAAAATAAAAAATACAGCTGAGCCATAAAATAGCACTAGATGGAATCTTTGATTTTAGCTTTGGAAGAACATAAATAAAAATCTAAAGCATGGCTGTCAAGAGGATCACCAGAATTATCCATTTGAGAGAGGGTTGGAGTGCAGGGTATTCTCTTTTATTGTTCAAACTGCTGATGCATGGAGAAAAGGCCTTCACAACCCTCTGCTATTGTGTACGTGACCCATAGGTTGTGGAGGCAGTGACTGTGGTGGTGAAGGTGGAAGCGGTGGTGGAGGAGGAGGAGGAGGAGGAGGTAGCCAACACTGTTTATATATATATATATATATTTTTTTTTTTTTATGTTAATTGTGGTAGCCCCCAAAATATTGGGACATACAAAAAAAGAAACATTTGCAGCCTGCGGTGCATTTCTTGCAGTCCTGATGCATGGAGAAATGCTCAACTCCTGATGCATGGAGAAAAGGCCTTCACAAGCCTCTGCTAATGTGTACCTAGTTTATACTAAGTGACCCATAGGTTGAGGAGGCAGTGACCGTGGCGGTGTAGGTGGAAGCAGGGGTGGAGGAAGAGAATGAGGTAGCCAACACTGTTTTTTATATATATATTTTTTATTTTAATTGTGGTAGCCCACAAAATATTGGGACATACAAAAAAGGAAATATTTGCGGCCTGCGGTGCATTTCTTGCAATCCTGATGCATGGAGAAATGCTCAACTCCTGATGCATGGAGAAAAGGCCTTCACAAGCCTCTGCTAAAGTATACCAAGTTTATACTAAGTGACCCATAGGTTGAGGAGGCGGTGACCATGGCGGTGTAGGTGGAAGCAGCTGTGGAGGAAGAGGATGAGGTGTCCAACACTGTTTTATATATACATATATATATATATATATATTTTTTTTTTTTTATTGGGGTAGCCCCCAAAATATTGGGACATTTGAAAAAAGACAACACTGTTACGCAGAGTAGCTGTTGACATTATAGTTCTGCAGGCAGTTTGTTGACTCTAGAGAACCTCAGGCCAATCGCACATCCCCGTGATGGCGACTTTGCATGCGGATGTCATCTATATCAACTTTCGATGCCAGTTTCTGCGCCTGCCATGGTGACCACGGGTAACAGGGAATCAGGGTTCCATTCCGTACAGGGACCCTGAGAAATGGCTACCACATGCAAGGAAGGCAGCAGGCGCGTAAATGACCCACTCCCAACGCGGGAAGGTAGTGACAACAAATAACAATACAGGACTCTTTAGAGGCTCAAAATTAAAAAAAAAATGACTTTTAAAAACTCTAATGTAAGCAGCAGATTAGCAGAAAAACAATTAGAATGTTTACAACTGCGCAGTAAGCGCACTATTTGACGCTTCGATTTGACTCTTAGATATGAAGTGCACCGCAGGCCAAAAATGTACTATTTAGCAGATTAGCAGCAAAACAATTAGAATGTTTACAACTGCACAGTAAGCACACTATTAGACACTTCTATTTGACTCTCAGATATGAAGAGCAGGCCACAAAATGTACTATTTAGCAGATTAACACAGAGAAAATAAGAATGTTTACCACTGCGCTGTAAGCACACTATTAGACGCTTCAATTTGACTCTTAGATATGAAGTACAGTGCGCAAATGTACTATTTAGCAGATTAGCAGCAAAATAATTAGAATGTTTACAACTGCGCAGTAAGCACACTATTAGACGCTTCTATTTGACTCTCAGATATAAAGAGCAGGCCACAAAATGTACTATTTAGCAGATTAGCACCCAGAAAATCTGAAGTTTTAAAACTGCAATGTGACAGCAGTATTTGACTCTCAGTTATGAAGTGCACCCCACTAATGTGCTATTTAGCACCAAAAAATTAGACTTTTTAAAACCGCAGTATTTGAAGCTTCTATTTGACTCTCAGATATGAAGTGCACCCCACCCCACTAATGTAGTAGTTTACAGAATTCTTTCCTAAGATGTCCCTATCAGCGGCAGCATCCTCTCCCTACACTAATAAGACCGCATGTGCGTGCAACCCTACGCGACTCCAGTTTATATATAGAGGCTGCGTCACATGCTGCACTGGCCTATCACAGCCATGCCATTAGTAGGCATGGCTGTGATGGCTTCTAAGGGCACACGAGTCAAACGCTTGTTGATTGGCTGCCCTGCAGCCTTTCAAAACGCGCCATTAAATCGCCGAACACCGAACTCCAACCCGAACATACAGTGTTCGGGTACGGGGTCCAAAAAACCTAATGTTCGGAGAGTTCGGGTTCGCTCAACTCTAGTAGTGTATCTAAATGATACACTGTAATGAATTAAAATAATGGTTTATTACATTAAATAAAGCATGCTTTAAAGGCACCACTAGGGGCAGTATGTAGGATTTCTTAAAGGGACACTATAGTCAGCAAAACAACTTTAGCTTAATGAAGCAGTTTTGGTGTATAGATCATGCCCCTGCAGCCTCACCGCTCACTTCTCTGCTATTTAGGAGTTAAATCACTTTTGTTTCTGTGACTGACACAGCCTGCATGAAAAACAAATTGTTTCACTTTCAATCAGATGTAACTTACTTTACAAGATTGTATCTCTTGCTCTGTAAATTGAATTTAATTATGAACAGGAGGCTCCTGCAGGGTCTAGCAAGCTATTAACATAGCAGCATATAAGAAATGTTAAATTAAACAGAATTTGCAATTAAGGAAGTTAATTATATGACTATTTACAGAAAGTTTTTAGGAAAGCTCTGTAGGTCACATGCAGTGAGGTGTGACTAGGGCTGCATAAACAAACTTCTTTAATTTCTAAGTGGCAGAGAATTGAGCAGTGAGACTGCACGAGCATGATCTATACACAAAAACTGCTTCATTAAGCTAAAATAGTTTTGGAGACTATAGTGACCCTTTAAGAAATGTGCTTCTGGCAGTGACATCACAGGTCAGACTACTCTAGGAGTACACTGGGAATAAAAAAAGAGATGCAAGATGATTTTCAGTCTCTTTGCCCTTCCTGATTGAATATAGAATGTAGTACCAGCTCTGACTTAAAACGGCACCATCATTCCAAACTTACCTTTTTATCTTTTTGTTTCCTCTTCTCTTCCTCTCTGAGAATCTGTTATTCTTTTCTTTATTTTTGATCTGGTTTTCTTTCAAATATAAGACAAAGTAGAGACTACTTTGTCTTATGTATTTTTCCTATTTTTGACCTTCCTTGACCAAAAGGAGGAGCTTAAGTCAGTTCCATTTCCTGTGACAGAGAAGGTATTAACCATTCTCTTTGGCACAGGAAATGGAGCTAACTTAAGCTCCTTCTTTTGTGAAAGAAAGTCAAGTGTAGGAAAAATACACGAGACAAAGTAGTTCCTACTTTTGTCCTATGTTTTAAAGAAAACCAGATCAGAAATTAAGTAAAGAAAAACAGATTCTGAGAAAGGAAGAGATGAGGAAACAATAGGAGAAAGGTATCTTCGGCATGACAATGTCGTTTTCTACATCTAGAATTTGGAATAGCCTTTTGTGAGAAATATGTTGTAGTCTTGTATTGAATAATAATTGTAGTAAATTGACATTCTGCTAGAATCTGTTTACTTGTTATTATAATTATATTAAATATATATGTGTATATATATATATATATATATAAAATATATTTAATATTAAGTTTTGTGTATTTTCTATCCACATATTCAACCATAATATCAAGAACTATAAAAATATTAATGTTGTAACTTATTTCCTAAAGCGGCTATAGTCACCAAAACAACTTTAGCTTAATTAAGCAGTTTGGGTGTATAGAACAAGTCCCTGAATTTTTACTGCTCAATTCTCTGCCATTTAGAAGTTAAATTACTTTTGTTTCTATTTATGCAGCCCTAGCCACACCTCCCCTGCATGTGACTTATACAGCCTGCATGAAAAATAAAATGGTTTAATTTTTAATCAGATGTAACTTACTTTAAAAGTTGTTTTATCTCCTGCTCTGTGAATTTAACTTTTATTACATATAGGAGGCATGTTCGGTGTCTAGCAAGTTATTAACAGAGCATGAGAGAAGACATTCTACATTAAAAAGAATTTGCAATAAGGAAGTGTAAACATTAGATGACTCTTTACCGGAAGTGTTCAGGAAGACCGTGCTAGTCACATGCAGGAAGGTGTGACTAAGGCCGAATAAACAGCGATTAAACACCTTAATGGCAGAGAATTGAGCAGTGAGACTGCAATCCAATTGCTCCCCTCCAAACAAGGACAGAAAGTGCCTGTCACAAGTATTATTATGATAAGCTTAGAATCATGTCTACAAATGCTCGCAGTTTAGGGAATAACTGATAATGTAGATTTAGTCGCTGTTACTGAGATATGGTATAATGAGAAAATGACTGGGGCATAGCAATACCAGGGCACTCTTTATATAGAAAAGACAGGAAAGGCATAAAAGTGGGAGTGGTGGCCCTGTATGTGAAGGATAGCATAAAATTTAGCGAACATAGAGTCCGTTTGGGTTACGTTAGAATTTGGTAATCACACAGTAACTCATGTAGGCGTGATTTTTAGGCCCCCAGGACAAATAGAAGAGTCAGATAATCTACTAGTTGAGGAAATAGCTAAATGACAATGAAGGGGGAAGTTATCATCATGGGTAACTTTAATCTTCCTGATATGAACTGGAAAACCAAAATAGCTGCTTGTTCTAGGAGCATACATATTGTAAACTCCCTACGCATAATGTCTCTAAAATAAGTAATTGATGAACCAACTCGTAAAGAGGCCATTCTAAATTTAGTGATAACAAATGGAGATTTGGTATCAGATATTACTGTCGGTGAAAGTTTAGGATCCAGTGATCATCAGTCAGTGTGGTTTAATATAAGAATAGTGACTGAGTCACACCACACAAAAACAAAAGTTTTAGACTTTAGAAAAAGACTTTTCTAAAATTAGAATATGTGTAAAGTAGTCATTATCAGACTGGAGCAGTTTAAATGGAGTCCAGGAAAAATTGGTTTATTGAAAAGTTGCACTGCTGAAGGCAACAGAAAATTGCATTAGGCTGGTCAGTATAAGCAAAACAATTAAGAAACCACTGTGGTACTCCGCAGATGTGGCCAAAATAGTAAAAAACAAAAAGTTAGCATTTAGTAATTATAGAAAAACTGAGAGTGAGGAAGATAGACAGATCTATAAGATTAGGCAGAAAGAGCTTCCAAATCACACATAGAAGAGAAAATAGCACAGTCAGTTAAAAAAGGGACAGAATATTGTTTAGATACATAAATGAGAAAAGGAAAGTAAAACAAGGATTAGTTAGATTAAAAACAAAAGAAGTAAGTTATGTAGAAGAGAATAAAGGTCTAGCTGACTGACTCAATTAATATTTTTGTTCAGTATTTACAGATGAAAATGAAGGAAAGGGACCTCAGTTAGGAAAAAAGACAAATGAGTCATTTGTTACATGTGAGTTTACAGAGGAAGACGTTCTATTTCAACTGTCAAAAGTAACTCAATGGGGGTTGTGTATGGGCGGGCAGTGCGTGACGTAAGCACGTGCGTAGGTCCGTGCGCTTCTGGGACCAGGAAGTGAGGCAGTGAGGCAGCATGGACGCCGAGCTCGACGGCACTAACAACTGAAGTGGCCGAAAAAGGAAGGCAGGTCGGGACAACGAGTACCAGCCAGAAAAGACTGACCCCATAATCCTATAATCCTCAGTTTGTATGCAGGTACATGGGTTTCTTTGAAGGAAGACTTTTTTGGCATTGCAAGTGGGGCAGAACGGCAGAACGGTGAAAGGAAGAAGGGAGGAAAATTAAAGTGAAAGAAAGAGGAAAGGGAGGAGGAGGAGGGAGAAAGGAGAAAAGAAGGGGAAAAAAAAGAGAAGTAAGAGGAGCTTACAAGTTGGGGACAGAGAATTCAATGAAGATATACTTGTGAGTAACTTGTGAGTAACATCTATTTACCTTCTATTTATCTACCTTCTATTTATCTCCATTTATCTCCATCTCCATTTATCTCCATCTGCCATTTGCTGAGACAAATAAATTATATTCATTTAAAGATATATTTAAAAGGGGTCAGAGACTTTTCAAATAATAAAGGCTGGAGGAGACAAAATTAAAACCACAAGCCAATCATATCAAATCTAAATTGAAAAACAGTGTTATCTATCTTTGAGAGTAAAGTTTAAGTTAAAGCAACGAGGCAAATATAACGAAAATCTTTATATCGAAGCCAAAGTAGAGATCCCTCACCACATATGGCTCCTAAAAAAGAGAAAGCCTTAACCATTGAGAAGAAGAAAGCAACAATTGGTACATATTACTCACCTAAAATGGCATCTACAGAATTAGAAAGGCAACGAAAATCTTTGCCCCTAGAAAATGCAGAGGTGTCTGCCCACCAAATGTCTAATTTATCAGAAGAAGACTTCCCACATTTGCCAAAAATTTCACAGGGAATGACGCAACAATTATTAACCCAAATGCTGGACAACCTATATAAAAAAATTAAAGATGACATAGAACACAACACAAATGACATCAGATCGGAAATTTTCATTCTTTCTGAGAAACTCTCAAGTCAGGCAATTATATTACAAAAAGTTCAAGATGATTATGAACATATCAAATTATCTAATGCACAACTAGAGAAGAAATTGCAAGACATTGAGAATAAAATTACAAATTTTGAAGACCGCTCCAGGAGAAATAATATTAGAGTCAGAGGCATATCTGAAACAATAACACAAGAAGATCTATATTCTTATCTGGACAGTTTCTTTTCAAATATTCTGTCCCTGCAGACACTGGGTCCTGAATGGTTCGAAAGATTTCATAGCTTGCCTAAATCAAATGGAATTGATAAATCCAATCCAAGAGACGTAATAGTTTGCTTTTCGAGCTTCCGGATAAAAAATCTAATAATGCAGAAAGTAAGGAATAAGATCCCGGATACCGACGAATGGAGGCATCTAAAAATCTTTCAGGACTTATCTCAAAAGACAAGACAAGCAAGAAGGACGTTTTCAGAGGAGACGACAATTCTTAGAAATATGGAGATACGATACAAGTGGCTGTTTCCGATGGCAATTATGGTCTTTTTTAGGGACCAATCATATATTTTCAGAGACAATACGGCACTAAAAGAGAAAATGACAATTTGGAAACTTATCCCAAACTCAAATTGAAAAAATTCATTTTTATTTTTTTATTTTTTTTTCTCTCTCTCTTTTCTCCTGTATTGGGTAGATAAGTATGATAGGGGTCCTTTCTCTCTAGCACGGTTTAAAAGAAATGGAAATGTTTTAGAGATTATGATAGTAAATATATATATAAGGAAAAGAAAGAGAAGAATAATGGATAGGTTTACACTAAAATTAAGGGATAAGAAGGAAGGGTTAAAAAAAAAAATATATATTCACAGATGGAGTAAAAACCTTCTTAAAACATAGTTGCACTAGAAAGCGGAAAAGAATAGAGATTGAAAACGAGTATTATAATAGCACAAGTAAAAAAGAAAAAAAAGAAAAAAGATAAGAAGGGGGAAAGGGGAAAGAAAGAAAAAATTAATTTTTTCGGAAGAAAATGAATATTATAAATGCACAAATTTAAAATTTCAGCTCACAAAGGGAAATTGAATAGGGAATAAGAAAAATAAATGAAAGATGAGAAGTGGGTGAGAAGGAAAGGGGAATAAGGGAATAAAGGAAAAGGGGTGTTCAATTAAAAAACAGATATCACTTAAATTAATATGAAACAGGTTGTCACATTATTAGAAAAGGGAAGTAGAGGGGAGGGATAAGGGAAAGGAGAGGGGAAGGAAATAAAGAGGGAAAGAGGATGGGAGAATTGACTTAGAGGAGAGAATAGGAATCTCTATGAGGTGAGAAAGTTAAAGGAGAAAATTGAGGACAAGATAAGAAGAGAGAAGGGAGAGGAAAAAATAAGATAAAAATTGTCAACGCATAATGGTATAACTAGGGAACAACCAGCAGACAGATTGTGGAGTTAATATTGTATTTTAGAAAAACAGTAACGTAGTGTCTTTGATAAAAGGAAAATAAGGCCCACTATCCTGGTTCGGGATCCTGCGACGGCAGCAGGTTTAAATATGAAGACTTTATTTAGAAGTTCTTCGTATAATGGAATGAATGTTCAAGCATGGAGCTTATTCAGGAGGCCAGATATTATATGGCCGAATGGGGATGGTATGAGAGGATTTGTGTGCTGGTTGCTATTTGAGAGGTGGTCAGAGGATAGGAGGGAGCTGGGGGAGCAATGGCAAGATGTCACTTAATATATTATCTATTAATGCAAGGGGTTTAAACTCAGGACAAAAAATAGGATACTTGTATAAATTAATGATGGACAGTAAAACGGATATTGGTTTGGTCCAGGAAACACATTGGGTTAACTCTACATCTAAGCTATGGAACTATAAAAAATTTCCAGTGGTTCATAGATCTAATTTGACTGGAAAAAATAAGAAAAGAGGAGTAGCGATTTTTTTTTTTCAAGTAGCTTGAAGTATGAGTTTGTCTATGAGGAGGCTGACCCTGGTGGCAGGCTCATAATAGTAATAGCTCGAATTAATGACATACTGTACACATTGGTAAATGTATATGCTCCAAACCAACTCCCTCACAGATTTTTGGAAAGTTTATTGCAAAAGGTTGACCGCGTATCGTCTGGTAGCTTGATTATTGGAGGGGATTTTAACTGCATTATAGATACCAAGGTAGATAGGAACAGAACTAAGCCTGCAAATAAAAATGATAGTCAAAAAATAGGATCATCAATGATGCAGACCTTATTAGCAAAGAATCGTTTGTATGACTGCTGGAGAACATTAAATCCAGAAGAGCGAGATTATACGTTTTATTCAAACGTCCATCAGTCATACACTAGAATTGATTACTTTCTGGTTAGGGCCGATACTTTGGATCGAGTTAGTAAAGTCAAAATTGGACCTATAATATGGTCTGACCATGCGCCAGTATGTTTAGTTATAAAAAATAATGCCGAATATAAATGCAGAGATAGATGGAGATTAAATGAAACCTTATTAAAATCGGAAAATAACATAGAAGAAATGCGTACTCAGGTTAGAGAGTTTTTTGAAAGTAATGATACTGGGGATGTTTCAAATGCTGCGTTGTGGTGTGCTTTTAAATCATATATGAGAGGATGTCTTATAAAATTGGGCGCTAATGTAAAAAAAAAAAAAGGAAACGAGTTGAATGAGCTTAATATCGATTTGGCAAATTTGGAACGTCTTCATAAGACTACCTTAGATTATAAAATTTTGGAGGATATTAAAGAGACTAGAAAATTTTTTTTAGTAAGAACTCAAGAGAAAATAAATAAAGCAATGGTAATATTAAAGCAGGGATGGTATTATGGAAACAATAAAACAGGTAAAAATCTTTCAAATAAATTAAAAAATAAAAACAAACTTCAATCTATAAAATACATAATAGCTGGAAATAAAAAACTTTTTTCGCCAACCCAAATTGCCAATGCATTTGAAGAATATTATAAAAGTTTATATAATTTGAAACTTAATGAGCCGTCCAAAGGGGAAATACAGCAGTTTTTGGACAAATTAAATCTGCCAAAAATATCTATTGAGAAATTAAGTCAGATAAATGCTCCATTCTCCATTCAGGAGATTAGTAATACTATTAAAGCATTAACAGCGGGTAAAGCCCCAGGACCAGACTGCTTTTCATCGATATTTTATAAAAAATTAAATGATATAATCTCCCCATATATATTGAAGACATTCAATGAATTTGCTACTCATAAAGTTATTCCATCAGAAATGCTCCTGGCCTCTATAATGTCAATCCCCAAACCAGACAAGGACCCAATATATACTTCAAATTATAGACCAATTTCTCTTATTAATTTAGACATTAAAGTGTACTCTAGAATCCTGGCTGATAGACTTAAACAAAACATACCAGATATTGTACATTTAGATCAGAGTGGGTTTGTAGAAGGTAGGGGTACGTCTGATAATATCAGGAAATTAATGAATGTCCTATATCATGCAGGCCAAAGCTCGTCCCCTTTTGCCTTGGTCACCCTTGATGCCGAGAAGGCCTTCGACCGTATTAACTGGAAATACTTGGAAGAGGTCTTGAAGGCCTTCGGCATAAAGGGCGTCTTTAAGGAGTGTACAATGGCATTATATACAGATCCCCAAGCCAGAGTTTCAGGATTTATGTTTCAATCGAAATGGTTCTCAATTAGAAATGGGATGCGACAGGGCTGCCCTTTGGCACCCCTGTTATATATTCTCTCCATAGAGCCATTGGCAGCTGCGATTAGACAGCGTGAGGGTATTAGTGGGTTAAAGGTGAATACATTGGAGAACAAAATTGCACTTTATGCAGATGATGTTCTATTGACTCTTACGGATCCTATTAGATCTATTCCAGCCGTATTTCATCTGATTAAAGATTATAGCAAAATCTCAAGCTATAAAGTAAACATAAATAAAACACAAATTCTGTTAAAAGGTTTAGTTGGGACCGGGGAAAAAAAGCTTAAGAAGGAATTTAAATGCGATTGGGAAGCCAGGAATATAAAGTATTTAGGGGTAAGACTATCCTTGGAGTATAGAGAAATTGGAGAACTTAATTATACAGAAATTGCTACCCAATTCAGGACTACTCTAAAAAATTGGAGAGGGTTAGAACTGTCTTGGCTGGGAGGAATCGAAGCAGTAAATTCTTACCTACTCCCTAAACTGACATTTTTATTTGGTAATCTCCCATTTAGGGTGTCACCCCAGACGATACGCGGTCTTCAAAAACAAATATCACATTATATATGGCAGGATAGGCGACCTAGAGTGTCAATGGAAATATTACAGAGAGATTGGAAGGAGGGGGGAGTTTCTTTTCCGGACGTACAAAAATTATATACGATTAATATGGTAGTACATTTAATTAAGTGCGATAATGTTACAAAATCAAGACCTATTTGGTTAGATATTGAAAAATCGGACTTGGGTAATATCGAACCTCTATTTCTTATGTGGTGCGATAGCGAATTTGTAAAAAATATAAAATCGAATAATCCGATGAATAACACAATGATTTATATAGCAAAATATTTAAAGAAAAAATATGGCACTAAGTATATATCAAGGATGGCCCCATTAACATGTTTAAAACTTTATATAAAAGATATAAATATACAAGAATGGGAAAAGTGCGGAATTGCAAAATTTGCGGAAATATTAGATGATAATAAAATACTGTCATTCCCAGAGTTACAGCTTAATTATAACCTTCCTTCCAAAGAAATATTTAACTATTTAAGAATAAAATCTTTTATCACAGGAAAAACCTTTTCGGAAATCTCTCAAATTGATCAGTTCATAGCATTCCATCATAGGAAAAAAATTGCTTCCAAGTTTAACCAATTTATAAGAAGCCAAAGGCAAATAGATAAAGTGTCAGCAATGAATTCTGCTCTGTGTCAGTGTGTATCATGGTCTCTGAGGACAGGTGTCAATCCATATCTGCCAAGTGACCCTATGTAGGAGAACAGTCTCTATTCTGCTCTGTCAGTGTGTATCATGGTCTCTGAGGACAGGTGTCAATCCATATCTGCCAAGTGACCCTATGTGGGAGGAACAGTCTCTATTCTGCTCTGTGTCAGTGTGTATCATGGTCTCTGAGGACAGGTGTCAATCCATATCTGCCAAGTGACCCTATGTAGGGAGAACAGTCTCTATTCTGCTCTGTGTCAGTGTGTATCATGGCTCTGAGGACAGGTGTCAATCCATATCTGCCAAGTGACCCTATGTAGGAGGAACAGTCTCTATTCTGCTCTGTGTCAGTGTATCAGGGATCCTGAGGACAGGTGTCAATCCATATCTGCCAAGTGACCCTATGTAGGGGAACAGTCTCTATTCTGCTCTGTGTCAGTGTGTATCATGATCTCTGAGGACAGGTGTCAATCCATATCTGCCAAGTGACCCTATGTAGGAGAACAGTCTCTATTCTGCTCTGTGTCAGTGTGTATCATGGTCTCTGAGGACAGGTGTCAATCCATATCTGCCAAGTGACCCTATGTAGGAGAACAGTCTCTATTCTGCTCTGTGTCAGTGTGTATCATGGTCTCTGAGGACAGGTGTCAATCCATATCTGCCAAGTGACCCTATGTAGGAGGAACAGTCTCTATTCTGCTCTGTGTCAGTGTGTATCAGGGGCTCTGAGGACAGGTGTCAATCCATATCTGTCAAGTGGCCCTACGTAGGGGGAACAGTCTCTATTCTGCTCTGTGTCAGTGTGTATCATGGTCCCTGAGGACAGGTGTCAATCCATATCTGCCAAGTGACCCTACGTAGGGGAAACAGTCTCTATTCTGCTCTGTGTCAGTGTGTATCATGATCTCTGAGGACAGGTGTCAATCCATATCTGCCAAGTGACCCTATGTAGGGGGACCAGTCCCTATTCTGCTCTGTGTCCGTGTGCATCAGGGGCTCTGAGGACAGGTGTCAATCCATATGTCAAGGTATCAATATGTCATATGTCAGGTGTCAATCCGTATTCATTGTGATTTAGGAATGTTAGGTGATTTCTGCCCTTTATGGATTAAAACCAGACTCTGTATCAACTGTGTAATTTTCCATGGGAGTTTTGCCATGGATCCCCCTCTGGCATGCCACAGTCCAGGTGTTAGTCCCCTTGAAACAACTTTTCCATCACTATTGTGGCCAGAAAGAGTCCCTGTGTGTTTTAAAATTCGCCTGCCCATTGAAGTCTATGGCAGTTCGCCCGTTCGCGAACATTTGCGGAAGTTCGCGTTCGCCATTCGCGAACCGAAAATTTTGTGTTCGCGACATTACTAATGTTCAGGTGGAAATTGTACTTTTATTTTTTGAACAGCTTGGAGCAAAGTAATCAGATCAGACCAGACAGTTTTGATTCAAAGATTACTTCCCTTTTTTATTGTTTAAGATTACAGATTATATACTACTTTGTAAAAACTGCTTTGTGACTTGCGCGACATAAACGGATGTTTGAAGTCACACTGTACCATAAAAGTAAAATACAGAACTATGCATATTTCAATGGTTATATATATAGAAATCATTAGGACATAAGTTAGGACATAACAAGGGGGATCTGAGGGTGAAGCAGCGGAAACCACAGAATGTCACAAGTCAAGATTTTATGCTTACTTGTGCTTACTTGTCAGACTCTGAAAAATAGACCAAAAGTCCAGAGCACAACATTAAAGCAAAAACAGACTGGACATCCGGTCATCTTAGCACCTTGAGCCTGGGGTCAAGGTGCCTTCCATTACAAGAGCAAAAATGTTGTGAAAAAAATAGAGTGCTAAATCACTGCCCCAGCCCATGTTGCTTTTATTTATTTATTTACACCTGTAACGATTCATCTTCACTGCCATCTTACAGAATATGTACATACATTGCTGCCTACTATATCCCACCTCTTGACAGTTGCCATTGTAATGATTTATTAATTTCACCTGTCAGTGATTTTAGTGTTGTGGCTGATCCAGGTGGTGAATATTGAACACATAAGCTTTGACAAGCCTAGTGCAGCACACATGCATCCCTTCCTAGGTCCCATATTAAATTGAGGTATATCAGTGTAATTATCATTCATTCATCCGGTTATCAACTTAATTAAAAGAGATAAAAAGTACTCAAATGTAACATGAAAAACTTTATTGAAAGCTGAAAACCAATTACAGAAATAAATCTATTTTTAGATTTGAAAATGCATGCCTCTTCCAATTAGTATGCTTATTTGTTTCAGTGAGTTGAGAGAATATGCATTTATCACTTTTTTGATTGTTGCATAATCAATAAGAAATTATTATACATAGAATCAGAAGTTACATCTGCAGTAGTTTCTTTGATTTACTTTATTTCTTTCCAAATTTTGTAATTTTGTTGAGACAGTTACTTTTTATTTCCAATTATGTGTAATTGCAGTGGGTAAGAGTCTCGACTAGTGGAAGGAATACAAAATATCTCTGTCATGCTGCCATATGTAAATGGTAAGGATCTTTCAAGAAATATAGGATGTCATTTCTGATTAACGTTATATACACACGCAGATAAAGTGCAATCACCCTGAATTAAAAATATAATATATGATAGAGACATTACATTTTTTGGTATCCAAATTAATGTTCTCTGATGCTCTGATGGTTAATTTGTGTGATCAACCTGTTGGAAAAAAAATATATAATGTTTATTATTCATATATGTTCATAGTTGTTTTTATTAAAATCCAATAAAATTTTAATACAGTCTTTGCATTTAACACAGTGCCACCTACCTAAGGGAGTGAGAGTTTAAATTGTTACAAAATGAGGTGCTACAGATGAAAATAAGCATATTCTATCCTAGCATGAAGTACTAGATGAGAATTAGGGTGAATCTAATTTGAAAAGAAGAACGTTTTGGGGACTTTTGAAAGGCTAAGAGAGAGAGAGAGAGACTGATATACAGTAAAGATCCACAGAGATACAGAGGAGATTCATAGAGAGAACTTGAGAGAAGTCTGAAATGGGAAGAGAGAAAGAGTGAAATGGAGGCAAACAAGTCACAGAAACGTGTACAGGTTATTTAGTGACATGACTAGATACAATTATTTCTGATGCGTACGAATGCCAGAATTACGGATGAAGCAAAAATACAACTTACCATTTTAATTATTTAGCTTACAATGTCCAAAAATCCGTTTATTGTGAGTAGACAGAGAACAAGTGCAATGAACAAGTGGAAAGAACTTTGGATGGTTAAAGATTCACTTCCAGAGGTCGTTGTCGTTGAGGAATCTGTGGTATCAAATGATCGTGTCTGCGCATGGACATTGTTGAGCACAAATTCAAGCATATAACCTTTACCTGGAAAATTAATAAATTTTTCAATCTAAAACTTTTTAAATCAATTGTTACTAACTTATTATTTAACCAAATTATTTAAAAAAAGCTATATTTGTTAAATTATGTCATCATTACATGAGGTATGTATTTCCATATTAGACTGTCATTATTTGGCTTAAACTCTTACCCGGCGGTAAATAGGTAAAACACATACATAAAATAAATTAATTTTACCTGGTAAATTAAGGACAAGATTTGTGTAGTTGGCCCAGCAACTAGTAAACGAAATGGTGGTATTTCCGCTTAATCCTGCAGTGGCATAGGTATTATTGGAGTATTTCAGGTTAGCAGTTAGTGACATAGCACTTACACTTACATCAACACAATTTCCCTAAAGATAAATAAAACAATATTATATAAAATAATGGAAAATATAGATTATTAGCAAAAATACTAGAGACCTATAAATTAATCTTACATTGGAGTCCTGGGCCATCAGAGAAGGTTGCTGGGTAAAGGGTTGACCTGATTTTCCAGCGACTGGTTGAACAATGACAACAAGCGTAGATACAGTATTTAGAAAACTTCCACTTGAAGATGGGGTTCTGCTTACATTCTGTGATGCAACCTAAGAAGACAATTCAATGATATTTATTAAACAAACTCAGTAACAATAGCTATGTTAATGTCAATCCATCACAAAGCCACTAAGTTTTAGTTACTGTTTATGACTCAGACATTACAATGTTTATTAAGACAAGACAAGTTTGTAGACTGATTGGCATAGCTTTTTCATTAAAATTTTCCGCCTTGATTAATATTTAATACTTATAGTAGATTTGACGCAGAGATGTTTAGGGGTAAATATAGACATTATCTCCATGCACCCAGTATCCCCAGATCCTGTCCAAATCTTTGACTCCCTCTATAAATCTGACTTAAAAATGATCAAGAGCAAAAGTTTTAGCTTTTTAAAAGGGTGATATGTCTGATGGGGTACATATCATCTGAGCTATTGGTTCTAGGGTGAGAATAATGAGCAAAGGGGCATTGCTGTTGGGTGCTGTTTGAAATGTGGAGGAGGAGGACAAAAAATCTGCCATGATTACAGGAGTCGATGGGAAGATGTATAGTGCCAGTATTCCCTTAATTGCAGCAGGAGGTAATCCGAATTTGTGTAGAAGCCTCCTGCATTGGTCTCAGAAAGGTTGGAAATAAGGTTTATCAGTTTTCTTAGTATTGTCTGAGCCTTGATGGGTTTTTATAAAACCAGATTGGTCATTGTGTATTAGTTTAGGCAAAATTATTGCAAGCCTATTGGCAATGAGTTTGGTGTAAAGTTTTGCATCACTGTTTATGCCTGAGGGGAACAACTCATACCACAATACAGCCCTATTTAAACATTTGTCTCTGACCACACACCACCTTATAACCTTAAATTGGAAACCACCAACAACCCCATCTATCAGAAGTCTAGTTGAAAAGTTGAATTTAAGGTATGGGCATGAACGCATAGGTGCATCCACTGTGGCACAGAGGCACAGAGTGGATGAAATCTGGCAACCGTGGATTGACTACAGGTCAGACATAGTCAGATTATCCTCTGACTATTGCAATATGTGGGAGGGGGAAAACAAACAAAAAACAGTCATATGGTTGTGTTGGGGGGATAGGTTAGATGGCACGGTTACTGTCCTAACTGACAACAATGTTCAGGGAGACCTTGTGCACAATGGTTAGTTTAGTTAGTTTCTAGTTACTACACTGCTTTCCTATTTTTTCTGTATACTACTGCAATATTATCTTGCTGTATATCTCTGTATAACATGTCAATGTACTGTATGACTAAATTATATCTTCTGTTTGGAATGGTCCACTGCTCTGGAACCTCACAACAGTGTTTTCTAATGTATTACTGTAACATTGCCTATCCTTGAAAACTAATAAAATGCAAATGAAAGAAAAATGACAGGAAAAAAAAAAGTAAAGTCTACTAATATTAGGGTAATTTACCTGACTCCAGCTTGGATCACTTGAAGAAGGAATGGGGGTAGAAACAGATATCGAAGAAACAGTAACGTTTAGTTGTGAACTTAAACTTCCATTAATTAAAGCTGCTGCTAGGGTCTGGCTCATTGTTGTAAAATTTGAGAATGTCAAGCCACCTAAAGAGAGCAGGGCATATAAAGACAGATTATAACATGCTGATATTATTACAGATTATCTTAATGCATAAGGGACACTTCAAAGAAACATTCAAGGAGCATTGGATTAGACCGTCATTCTAGAGGCACACCTCCAGCATGATGTCACTCGAGGAGAACTTTGTGGCAGTCCCGAAAAGAGAAAAGGTGAGTAACTAATGTTATTTTAATTTATTTTGTCACCAGCACTGGAGCTTTAAGAATACAGATATGTATTCCTAATGGTATAGTGTTCCTTTCAGCAATTCTCTCTCCTCCACCAATGTTTTAAGAACAGTCCCACAAATTAGTTGATTATCATTCAAACAAGGCACATTACTTTAAATATGATTTTTTTTTTCATATACAAAAGAATTTCACCCCATCCATATAGAAGCAAACCCTGAATTCTATACTAACACATTTTTTCTTATCTACTTTTAACCTCAATGTACCCTTCAGCCTCTTTTGTTTATTTCTGTACCTCACCCTGCCCTTAAGTTCCATAATGCAACTTAATCTCACTTTATGTGTGACAGATAGGCAAACAGATAATGTTACATGTTACTTTTTCATTCCTGATTCCTAAGCAAACATGTTATTACTTTAGAGTTAATTTATAGAAATAGAATCTTGCCTGTTGTAGATGTATCGGTTCTTTGTGTGGAAGGTGGATCTGCAATTTCCACTTGTACAGTGAGTCCTCCCGTGGCTCTCTTCCTCCTTCGACTTCCGTCTTCCACAATTTTTTTAACACGGAGTTTGCTTGATGAGATCTTAAGGAATGTAGCGAGTTTATTAAGAAAATCATCACTCTTGAACTGATTTACTGCCATTGCAGGCAGTTTGAAAGTTACAGCAATCAAAGGCGATGTATAAATTTGAATGGGGGTTGATCCTTTAACTACGGTGTAAAACATTTTGTAGGTTTCATCCAAAAAGTTATCTCCTGAAACATTGGAAGTGAGCTGTGGCAGGTATTGTCCTGTAAAAATAGAAAAAAAAGATTTCCTCAAAAACAGTAACATCACAGATAACAATTAATATTTTATATTAAAATATAAAAATTTATTATTTTTTTATTATTATAAGTTTACCTAAACATAGACATAGATTTAATAGGCTTTCCAAATGATTCTATATATTTTAGAACAACTTGCAATATTATTTATCTTTAAAAATTTTCATATGCCTTGGTTCTTTGGAGAACAAATTATCTATTCTCCTGTATCTACTCTTTGCATTTTTAGTACATGTGCTAATGATAATTCCCTGTATAAGGCAACACTTGATTCCTTAACATCTTCTCTCCCAAACACTTCTTTCAAACTATTTGCCAAGTTGCAGAAAGATTCCATTAATCTACCATCACTCTTCAATGAAAATCCTAAGTGAAAATTCTAAACTTACATATTTTTAATAAAACCTGACTTCTATTTTACAATGATCTGTACATTTATTGAACTCATACATCAAAAAATTATTAAAACTTCAACATCAATTTGTTTTAAGACACATAAAACAGTATAATTACCTTCATACGTTGGGGTGTTTAATGTGAAACTTGTTCCATTATTAGTCATATTTGCATTAGTTGGATATACATAGATACCATTCACATACACATCCAGACGCTGAGGATTTGGGAAAAAAATTCCCACTCGAACAGACTGAAAATATAATTAACAATAATATTTTATTTTTCTTATATGTAAAAAAAATATCCAAATGAAAATCCATATGATTCATGTTCACATCTACTCTGAATGTGTCATATATTTTTAAATTCAGTTTAACTGCCTTGAGTGAATTCTGCACCTTCAGTCGAAGAGTCTATTATTTTATATATATATATATATATTTCACAGAATGCTACATTGTTGTTTTTTTTGCCATTTTGACCATTCTATTGATATTTAAAATATGGTACAGTCAACTAAACACTTTCTGCCAGTAAGTGAGAACCTGCATTGGCTGTACTTTGCTCTAAAGAAACATTCAGCTTCTCCAGCTATAGGAGGCCAGACGTGGCACAGGCAGGACCCTGGTAATATGTCAAACCAATGCGCATTTAAAATATTTAGACCAACATTTTCAAGATGGTAACAATATGCAGATCAGAAAATGTGAACCAATCACCAACTCAGCACTGTTCAGGGTTTACTAAATAAAGCAGTTGGTGACAAAAAGTGACGTTTCTGTTAAAAAATAAATAAATTATTATTATATTCTATATATCATTTTTTACCAGATAACATTAATTTAGTTAACACACAAATATGGAAATAGTTTCCTTTACAAAAATGTCATGGCATACAAAAATGCCCTTGGCTTACCTTGGTACTGGCACAGTTCAGTAGCATTAGCCTCAGATTTTGAGGACTGGCAGTGGAGAAGTAAATATCAAAAGATTTGTTCGTTGCCACTATTGAGTGGAACAATGAAACTCGCTTTTTCTCACAATTGGATCCGTTGCACGAAGTGTGGTTTTGAGGTCCTTTAGCAAAACAAATGTTAAAAATAAGGACGTGTTATAAAATCAACATGTGGAAATCATTATGCTACCAATATGTGAGCTAAATGTTTTAAAAAGTAATACTCTCTGTAATGCAATGAGACAGAGGAATGAACAAATCAAAACCCTAAAGGATCACTCCACTGCCCAAATAAATAAAAAATAAATACAAATCAATATTTTGTAGATAAATCCAAAATTATTCTGTTTTCATTGGGGGAATATCTAAAAACACCTTGCAAAAGCTGCAGATCTTTTGTTTGCAGCATTTGCAAACCATTCACTTATATATTTGGCTGTCCAACCACAGGCTTCCCAGTGCAGCCCAATGAGAAGTTTTTGCAAAGCATGGATTTTGCCTGCCTCTTGAGTTTTTCACAACTGAACTGTCCACTTAACAGCTAGGGGTGTAATAAGGTTAATTTTTTAAAAGTGTGAATTTCTAGTAAAATAAGCAGTTTTTGTAAAATGAAACAAAAATTACACATTCTTCACACATAAAGCATTTTTAACAACCTTTAGGGGTCAGGCTGTCCATTTAACACACTTAACAGCTGTACAATGTTTAACCCCTTAAGGACACATGACATGTGTGACATGTCATGATTCCCTTTTATTGCAGAAGTTTGGTCCTTAAGGGGTTAAAGGACCACTATAGGCACCCAGACCACTAAAGCTGAATGAACTGGTCTGGGTGCCAGGTCTCTCTAGTTTTAACCCTGCAGTTGAAAACATAGTAGTTTCAGAGAAACTGCTATGTTTCACTGAAGGTTAATCCAGCCTCTAATGTCTGTCTCACTGACAGCCACTAGAGGTGCTTCCGTGATTCTCACTGTGAAAATCACAGTGAGAAGATACTGGACATCCATAGGAAAGCAATGAGTAATGCTTTCCTATGGGCAGTTTGAATGCGCGCGCGGCTCTTGCCGCTCATGCGCATTCGGATCTCCCGTCGGCAGAGGGTGGAGAGTTCCCCAGCACAGAGGGAGTCCGGCGCTAGAGAAAGGTAAATGGCTGAAGGGATTTTAACCACTTCAGGCCAGCGGGAGAGGGGCTCTAAGGAGGGAGGGGACGTACTGACCCTATAGTGCCAGGAAAACAAGTTTGCTTTCTCGGCACTATAGTGCTCCTTTAAGTAGTTTAATTTCTGAAAATAAAGGAACAAAAAAAAACCAATATTTTATGGCAAGTGAATAATTTTTTTTTTTTTTTTGAGTGTTTGTTCTCAAAAAAACTTGTCAACGCTTTACAATATTATAAAGGGGGAAATGTAGCACTACGTGAGACAATTAAAAAATGTTAAAGGAGCAATAGGTTCTTGAGCACACTTACAGTCTACATCAGCGGTAGTCAACCTTTTAATACCTACCACCCACTTTTGTATCTTTGTAAAATTTCCTTACCGCCCACCAGTGCAGCGGTAACTAATCTTATAGCGCAAGTGCGATATTTAATTTTACAAATGAGGGTTTTTTTTTTTAGATATGTAATAAAATGTATCTATTTTTTTCTATTTGTGTCTGTGAGCTGCTATGTGTGTAAAGGGTGCTGTGTGTGTGTGAAGGGTGTGAAGAGTGTAGAATGTGTGTATGTGTGTGTGTGTGTGTTTGTGTGCGTGAATGGTGCAGTGTGTGTTTGAAGGGTGCAGTGTGTTATGCGTGTAGTGTGTGTGAGGGGGCAGTGTGTGAATGGTGCAGTGGGTGTGTGTGAAGGGTGCTGTGCATGTGTGTTGAGGGATGATGTGCGTGTGTGAGGGTTGCTGTGCATTTGTGAAGGTTGCTGTGCATGTGTGAGGGGTGCTTTGCATGTGTGAGGGGGAAGTGTGTCTGAAGGGTGGATTGCATGAGGGGTAGAGTGTGTGTGTGGGGTAATGTGTGTGTGGGGGCAGTGTGTGCAAGGGGGCAGTGTGTGTGTGAGGGGGCAGTCTGTGTGTGTGTGGTAGTGTGTGTGAGGGGTGTAGTGTGTGTGAATGGTGCATAGGGTCTATGCTTTGTGTAGGTGGTTTAGATGTGGAAATCTTCTTCTTACCTTTTACCAGAGAGGGGGGACATAATGTTGCAAGCCCTGGTGGTCCAGTGGTGGCATGTTCACGTTAGCCTGCAGCTCCTCCTGCTGCAGGCTGTCTCTCCTGTCCTGCTGCGAGCACAGCACTGTATCGGAGCGTTGCCATGGTAACACATGGCAACGCTTCGAACATCCTACTTGTGGGAGGAACACAGATCCTCCCAAGCCCTTCCCTCCCTCTGCTGGAACTAAGTGCCAGCAGGCCAGTGAGGGAGATATTTTATCTCCTCACCAGCCTGAGTGGGCTTACAGCAAGGCTGGCTTTGCATGGGCTGGCAGGGGAGATGAAAGGATCTCCCCTGTGGCCTTGGTCCATGGACATTGAGGACAACCAGCCATTTTCTGCAGAACCCACCATTGCTCACCTGAAATCCCAAACTGCCCACTAGTGTCTGGTAGGGGGCAGGTTGACTACCCCTGGTCTACATTAAATATACCCAGTTGAAATATGAATATCAAATGACACTATTGGAATTCAAGCTGAAATATAATTGTTTTTCATCTTACATATGAGCATGTTCTTACCACTAATAATGTCTATGTAGCCATCTCCCAGCACAGCTACTGGTGAAAGTCGTCTAGTCTCTGTGTCAGGATCGAGACTCTCAATTACCAGGATTTCATAATTTAATCCTGTGCATTTGTAACTTTCCCAGGTTGGCACATATGCACATGATGGATCTCTGATAATCCCTTAAAGTGGAACACATACAACATTTTTACTTTTTTGAAACAAAAGCTGTTAATATGCAGTGAGTGCGAACAGAACAGTTGCAAAAGTTCACATTTAAAACATTTATAACATTTATAAGCAATATTTGTTATTACAGTTTATGGAGACAGCTTGACATGCAGTTATTACAGAGTTATTATCTTCATTTTGCAAAAAAAGAAAGCACAGACCCAGAAAGCACCTCTAGTGGCCATCTGAGGAGTGACCACTAGAGGAGTGACCACTGGAGGTGTCCCTAGGCTTTAATGTAAACACTGAATTCTCCCTAAAAAGGCTGTACTTACATTAAAAAGCCTACAGGGACTGACTATACTCATCAGAACAACTACATTAAGCTGTAGTTGTTCTGGTGACTATACTCTTTAAGTACAACTTGCACATATATGCACACATATATACAATGTTGCTCTTAAATTGGCCAATAAAAAAGCACTTTTTGACTTAATAAATGTCTGCTACACACTTAAGTGCAATTCCACTGCACAAAGAACAAAATAAACCACGAAAATAATCACAAGTGGAGCAGTATTATATATATGATGCTAGATATATACAACCGTAATCTGTAAATCCTCCAGTAAATGGCACTCAATAAGTGTACATAGAATAATAATATTTATTTTTATTCTACGTACAGTTCACTGATTGAGTGCCATCTACTGGAGGATCTTCAGATTAGGATTGTATATATATTACATCATATATATTTAAGACTATGTCCTCTTGATAGAAACATAGAATGTGACGGCAGATAAGAACCATTCGGCCCATCTAGTATGCCCAATTTTCTAAATACTTTCATTAGTCCCTGGCCTTATCTTATAGTTAGGATAGCCTTATACCTATCCCACGCATGCTTAAACTCCTTTACTGTGTTAACCTCTACCACTTCAGCTGGAAGGCTATTCCATGCATCTACTACCCTCTCAGTAAAGTAATACTTCCTGATATTATTTTTAAACCTTTGTCCCTCTAATTTAAGACTATGTCCTCTTGATAGAACCACTTGTGATTATTTTAACTCTTGTCTAAGTGTTTTTCCTTACTGGTTGCCTTGATTATGAATGCAGTATGGGGGGCAGTTGCTAGTGCATTAAGCTTTAGCAATATGCCTAGTATTTAAGTCAGAGTATTCACTGATGTAACTCTCATGTTTGTTTGACCAAAATGACAGACTAATTATGGAAATGGTATCAGAATAGGGATTGGTCTGTTTCTCTACAGATATTTGATTACATCTTCTGTACAATTCTTTGGACAAGCCTGGTGTATGTCTATATTTTTATTAAGTCCTTCACTATCAAGCACTTTTTGATTAAGAAAATTATTAGCATAATGTTTATTTGAAGCAAGAGATTAATAGCTATAAACATAATAACACAGCAATTGGGTGTATAGATTGCTTTGCAGACAAACTTAAAAAAGGTTAGTTAAATAATTGTTCTGAAATAAAATTTTTCACTTATTTGTTCATTCTTTATAAAAATAAAATTGAATATTTGGGAAATTAAAAGTGTTGTCCTTTATCTTGCAGTATTTCACACAGGGTCTGAAATGTTAGTGTAAAAGCAAAAAAAAACCCCAATTTCTCCCATACAGTAAATGTGACCAAAATTCATAAATAAAAATGTTGAAATATCTTACTTATAGGTCTTTGCAAGCACCCTGGATACATTACTAGCAGCACAGCTTACTAAAATGTCAACAAGACTTAAAAATAGCTACTGTATTTGAACACAATATCCACATACAGTAAATACAGTTACATCTTATAGCTCTTAGATATTTAAAACTGCTATGGCAACCTTCATCAATCTCTAGACTGCTTACGTAATGCTGACAGTAAAAGGGTAGAGTCCATTCACTCCTTCCTCTTCCCTGACCGCAGGAACAATATGATCTTTTTGAAACTCCATGTACTGTTTGAAAGCAGGGATGTGCTGAAAGGGACACTATAGTCACCAAACAACTTTAGCTTAATGAAGCAGTTTTGGTGTATAGAACATGCCCCTGCAGCCTCGCTGCTCAATCCTCTGCCATTTAGGAGTTAAATCCCTTTGTTTATGAACCCTAGTCATACCTCTCTGCATGTGACTTGCACAGCCTTCCATAAACACTTCCTGTAAAGAGTCATCTAAAGTTTATCTTTTCTTTATTGCAAGTTCTGTTTAATTGAGATTTTCTTATCCCCTGCTATGTTAATAGCTTGCTAGACCCCGCAAGAGCCTCCTGTATGTGATTAAAGTTCAATTTACAGAACAAGAGAATAACTTGTTAAAGGTAAATTAATTCTGATTGAAAGTGAAACCATTTTTGGTTTTTCATGCAGGCTCTGTCAATCATCACCAGGGAAGGTGTGGCAAGGGCTGCATAAACAGAAACAAAATGATTTAACTCCTAAATGGCAGTGAAATTGAGCAGTAAAACCTGGGAGGCATGATCTATAACTGCTTCATTATGCTAAAGTTGTTTAGGTGACTATAGTGTTCTTTAAATTCTTAGCAAATTTACAGGCATTATATTAGTGAATTGTGACTTGTGGCAAATACATTTGCTCCATTACAGTCTAGTAATCATAATAAGAGTATAAATTAAGCTTTATGGACAAGATTTCATACTACAAAATACATGAAAATGATAATGTTTATACTTGGTTTGGGAAATGAATGGGTTAACTGTGCTCCTCATTTGAAATGTTCTTTTAGTGCCCCTATGCAGAAGAATAAAGGGTCATGTGACACATTTCCCTTGTTAAACTTTTCATTTACTACTTTATGTAATCATAACAACATAAAATATCTTAGATATGTTCCTATATCATTTATAAGATTCAAATATCATGTTTTGAAGTAAACTATATTTTTTTCTCTATGTACACCTCCAAAACAGTTGTGTGGGGACAAGGTGTGTATGTAGTTTTGTGTTCACTATAAGGCTGCTAACATCTTCACATAAGTTCTGTACCTTGATATGGTGCCACTTGGGAGACATTAATGCTGCTTCCATTAAGATTAGTCAGCATGACTTTAGGAATACGAGAATCACCAAGCCCATAGGATGCTAACCCATTCCACTGATATTCTGATTGTGGGATAACAGAACCAATGCTACCAAGGAAAGTACCATCCAAATCCTTTAAAAGTGCTTTCCTCTTTGCATCACAGACCATGTCTACACAGCCAGATGGGGTTGCTTTTCTGAAATAGAGATAAGTATAATGTGATTCAAAGATAACATCCAATGTTATGTAATATGTGATATGTGAAGAGAGAGTGAGAATGGAAGGTGAGTAAAGAATAACAGAAGTAAGAAAGACAACTGTTTGAATGGTAATTAGGGACATATTTTGTATTATTGCTTAATGAAAAGTATACATCATTAAGTATACATTCATAATAATAGTTATATTGTACACTACAGATGATCCATAATGTTATTGGAAATTAAAGCAGCACTTCAGACATCTAAACAGACCACCATAGGCAGCTTAATGACTTTATCTTACCAAAATCCCTGTGACGTCTGGAGACTCTGGGAGACATCTTACCTTATGAGTTAAACTTAGTTCCATTGAGATAAATGCTTTAGAAAGGTATGAATGCCAAGGACCACCAGATCACATAACAATGTCACTGAGATTATTATGGTGCCTGGAGTAGTCCTCTAACTGCCTATGGTCTTTTTATAGTATCCAATGCCCTTGTTCCTTCATGTTCCTTCCTGTGTAGAAAATAAGCTATACTGCTGTAAACCTACCAGCTATAACAGAGTGAACCTATACAATTTCTCACATTGTGCATATACTGTACAAAATCTATATATAACATGAAACCAGAAAGCTTCAAAGCAATTAATGGATTTGCTCTGTTGCATTGAAAGGGTTTGTGTAATGACTGTATACACAGAATTGTAGAAGGCAAGACAGACAACTTAGTGAAGTAGTGGACTGGATACTATGAGAATTGGGTTGTCATCAACATACAAGAGGTAGTGGAATTTAATTATTTGATTGTCTAGAATACCATGTACCCTATTGAGTATTCCAGTTGTGGAAAGAGGAACTATAAGAGGAAAATAAGGAAGCATTATATAAACATCAATACTGCAACTGGTAAGAAAAGTATAAAGTGGTCCACAGTATCATTATAAAGAAAATAAATAAAGAAGAGGTGATGAGGCAGCTATTTAAATGTAGCACCAAACAACATACGATGGATCGGGTCTGTGGATAAACACTTTCTGGTCTTCTGCACAATTCACAGTTTGTATTTGGAAGACCATCACTGGATGTTGTAAGTCTTCATTGAGGGGGTTTGTCATGAATATCACATTGCTTTCCACTGAACAGACGTTTCTGTATTCCGCAAAAATGGTGTCTGAGAGAGAAATACATATTGTTATTCTTGAAAGAAAATTGACATTGGATAGATTCACAAATGCATCCAGTTTAAATCCAAAATATAGAAACAGCTAGTGACTAGCACATTTACAATTATAATTAATTAATACTCTGTATTAAAGAGTGAAGTTCCTTTACACTAAACATATTATCATGCACGAATGGTACCATATATTACCAAGTGAAAGGGTCTGGTGAATTTGTAAAAGTAATCATGAACGATAATGAAATAAAACAAAATATTCAAAAGGATAACAAACATATTAAAAATGTTAATGTATTTCTATTAGTTAAACTATTAAATCAACAGAGTAATGATTTAGGTGAGGACACCATATCAACCTACATGTATGACATAATGTGGACACAATCTACCATGGACAATTGTTAAGTTATTTCATATCCAAGGAACTCACTTACGCACGTGTCAAATTTAGCTATTAAACTGCTTATTCTTCTTTTGTGTTTTTTTTTATTCCACTTTAGTATGATCAGCACTTTTATTTAGCTCCCTGATAATCATTTCATGCCAATTGTATACTAGAGTTTTTATTCACAGATCAAGTGAGAAGTAACCAATGAAACAAAAGAGGAGCAAAAAAAAAAAAGATTATTGCTAATAATTTTTTTATGTATGTTTTTTTTACTGCTTATCCTTTCTCTCTTCTATTGGTCTCTTCTCCCTTGATCTGTGAATAAAACAAACATTTACTGGTTGTCCAATAGCAATTAATCATACTTTTTTCTGATCAACTATATTTTTTTGAACTCACAGATGTAACACTGATTCACAAATTACTTTGTTTGTTTAGTGATTCTAGGAATTCAGACAAACTGTCAAATGCCCAAAATTCTGATGAATCGCAATTTGCTTGAAGCCTGATGAACAACATTTTACAACCTTCAAGATTTGTTAGTTGTTCTGCATGTCACAATATACATATACCTGTCACAGTCATTAGACCACTAATTGCATTGTAGCTTGTGATTCCTGCATGGGGGTTTCCTGGTGCACCGTTATGAGTCGAAGCAAATGTTGGCCAGCTGATACCACTTCTTCCACCTGTAATATACGTATTTGACATTTAAAGTGTGACTATTACTATATCAGTGCTGTTCCAGAAACTTTCACATACATTTACAAGAGCAATAGAATTAAATTAATTAAATTACCAAACGTTCAAATTATTTTTTCTGTTCTCACAGAGGATGTAGAGGAGCCGTTATTGTGTTCTAGGGTTATTTAAGGAACAGTATGTGTGTTTGTGTGTTTTTTTTTTAGATTTTTAATGTTAAATATCTGGACTAAAAATTGATTAGTTAAATTAATAAATACCAAAAAATGCTATTTGTATAACAATTATATAAAACATTTATCATAAATCTGATATTTAAGTGTAATTAGCTTATGGAATGGAAACATAATTAGATTGTGTTTTATTATTATAATAATTAAACATATGTTACATAACTAATTAAGTTAGATGATGATGGAAGATACTGTAGATGGTTAAAGAAACAGACATAGAGTAATGGATAAATGGAGAGGACTAGCACGTATATTTAAAGCTTTGAGGAAAGGACAGCACATATAATGCTGGGGAAGATAAAATGCCACTTCTTCTCCAATAAGGAACTCTGTTACCTGCTGGAGGTCTTGGACTACGATGTTGTGCAGAGAGCTTCATGTTACTTTCAGTGACATTGAGAGTGTCATTGCAATTAAATGATGGACTACTTCCAACAAGCACAGAATTCTGAAAATATACAAAATATTTTATTACTTTCTTGAAAAAATGCGGAATGTTCAGCTGAATATTACACATATCAAAATAACTTTTGCAATATTATTTCTTCTGTTACCAGGTAAAAATTTGCCTACTTGAGTTTTTGTGAGTGCTGCCATGATCATGCGGAAGCCAAGTGCAACCTCTGTAGGAGCCCCATATAGTACAAAAGTCAGATTTGTACATTTATAGGCTTAGATTGCAACATTTCATATAATGTGGAACAGATACAAAAGATAAAGCACAATTTCCAAATGTAGTCTCTTAAGATCAAGGAAGTTTCCATCATTATTTAATACTTTGATTCATTTATATCAATGGGAGAACATATTTGAAATAATATTATACATCATCAATAAATGGCAAAGAAAAGTCTGAAGCTATTTTCCTTATTATTCTCGGTGGTGATGGGTGGGAAATTCCACATCTGTGCTTAATATATTTGTCTTTATAGTGATACTTTGGTGATAGTGATAAAAACTGCATTTTTATTATTGTGTCTGGATACAGATGGCACCATCTAAAGAATTGCTATACACTGGATCAAAACCATAGGAAATCATAGAATATCTCCAGAATCACTGTACATAGTTTGGTAGATTTTGTTTATGTGGACAAGATATTCACTCTGTGACTAAAACGGTTGTCTCAATGTAATTTCACGGTTGTGACAAAAAGTGCAGTTCTTCTCATGTTTTCTTTTTTTGGTACGAAATGTTGTCCTCCTCAGTTAACAGTAATTCATTCTAATCTGCACCAACACAGCTTACTATTACATAAGTTATAAGTATTATAAAAGTTGGACTCATATTTAGTCTTTTGTGATTAATATATCTTTTTGCTCTAAAGATCTTTTAATTTTGTGAAATGAGAGCAGTAAATATCATTCACTCACCTGGATAGTAATAGTTTTCTTAGATGTCTGGTGAGAGCTTGCTGGAGGACCAAACACAATAGGAAGTATGCCCATCCCATTATCGACAAGGACCACGTTAGAGATCACCACGCTGTCTGCTGTCTGTAAGCAATATTTCATAGTTAGTAAATCTGTGTAGCAAACAGGTTAATTAATGTCAACCATTCCAACATTTTCTTTTATTGAGTAACAAATTGTAAAGAGCTTAAATAAAAAAATATATTTCCCAGATAACTGATAACAATTTCTCTGTATAATCTTTATATTAAAAATGAACATCTCCTTTTTATTTAATTCATATATATATATATATAAATGTTTGTAATTTTTGAGATTGTGTGATATTTCTGCCTGCTTCATTTTTTGTAACCTGATTTTGAAAAGACAGTTAAATAAAATATGCAAAGTGCCAGATTACATGGAGTGGGAAAGAGAGGTAATTGATTTTCTTTCATAAAACTAATTCAAATTTGAATTTAAAAAAAATGATGATTATATAATAACATAGTTATTATATTAAAGTATTAAAAATTATGGAAGTGTTCCTTGTATTCTAGTTGGCTGCTTGATGTTCTCAGGCAATCACTACACAACAGGCATTAAAATTACACTGGTAACACTGGTAATAGAAAGTTACAAAGCCGATACTGGCAGGTCTCAGTCTAGTATTAAATTTATAGTTTTCAGAGCAGTATAATTAAAAATAGGCAAGTTAGAATGCTCACTTGCTATTAAATACCTGGAAAAGTCACAACTGAACTGGAAAATTCCTCTATATCTCTAATCTGAAGATCACACTCCAAATTTAAAATATAAATCTCCAGTTTATGGTATTTTACTGAAACAGCCATTCACAGAATTCACTATGCTAAGGACATTCTTCATTAATTAGAAAAATATTTTATCAGGAAACAAATTAAGAAAGGATGACAGCCAGTTGCTACAAAACAAATGTTTGTAACAGTGTGCCATACACTGCATGAGATTCATCAGCTGATGCTATCAACCAATGAATGAGTACTGGATTGACTACTGGCTTCTTCAGCCCTGCAGAACCCAGAAGCGCATCACCAGGGGGGAAAGGAGCCTTGGAAACCAGTGAAGATCCAAGTAATAAGGCAAAGCATTGGTGATTGGTTTGCCCCATTACCAGCAAACTGGACCAAGGTACACCTGTCACCATAACCAATACAGCAGCCTGTAGTGGTTATGATGCTTGTTTGTAACTTTGTATTAAGGCTTTTTTTGAGTATTTTATTTCACAAATTTGATATTGCAATAATAAATAAATAATCTTCAGATATATTTAGAAATTACCTGAGTGTAAATACCATAATCCCAGCATTTCCATACAAGGAATCTTCTCACTTGTGAACACCCAGAAAGTCCATCATTATTCATATACACACCATATAATCCCCCGTGGGCTTCATTGTTGAGCCATTCTATATTGGTGTTATTTGCATCTTTGAAATGAGAATTATTATTAATTGCATTTTTGAATGTCTGTGCTAAAAAACTAAACATTTATGATAAGTATAAGAAAATCATGAAAACTGTATCTAATAACTAGGTGGTAGAAATATGAAGAAAGGGAATGTTAGAAAGCTATTCAAGACCAGCACATCATAAGACAGTGAAGTTGCCCCCTTTGGGTACCCTTGCATGTGGGTGCAAAATTGGAATTGTATAAAGACTTACTCAGAAGTCTCTAAGGGTGTGCTTATATTCTTTCTATGGGTCAGCCGCTATATGCTAAAAATTCCTGTTCCTACTTTTAATGAGTAGCAGTTGTTTATTGGCTGCCACATTTAACAAGTAGTGACAGCGAGTTACAAGCTGATATGTGAACATTTATATTATCAAAGAGCCTGATTTCATTAAAAAAAAGTGACTGTAGTAAGGAATTTACATTACATGACAAATATTTTACATTGGATTAAATAAGACAAGATCTGAATTACAAATGATATACTTGTTAAGTTACTGCATTTGGTTTTAAGAATACGGTATATCCACAATAATGACACTTAAAGTAGTTTGATCCCAAAACTATCTAAGCTGTAACAATTTGCAAATATCCTACGTATAGGACATAGTTTTTATTTAAGACAGATGTTTAAGAACAGGGAACCCGGGAGAAAACTATATAACTTCCACCAAAAAGCATGTATTTAAATTGGTGTCTTCTTACCTGGGCAAGGTTCTCCATTAATACGATATCCAACTCTTTCGAAACCAGCAACTATGTTATTCTGTAATACTATGTCAATGCCATTATTGATCTAGAAAGAAAGAACACAAACCAGTTACATAGAATTTATACTAATGTAACAGAAGCACAACACAAATTAAATTATGGATATTTCTAGTATATTTGGCATTCTGAAAATAACCAATAATGTAATAACACAAGATTAAGATAATGGAGTAGAATACTAATTTAGAAATGTTCACTTGTGGATAAACTATAACTTCTTTGTGTATACTGTACATTGTGGGAAAACCCTATTATGGCCAATAATAAAAAAAAACAATAATAACCTCTATTGCAGCATTCCAGATAGTGTTGTTTGGTTGCTCTTTGCCTTGATAAGATCCTGGCCATACGGAAAGTGATACAAGATTCCTTCTCACTTTAATACGTTGGCCCCATATTCTGATTCCTGAAATATTGGGAGAAATAAATCTGCATATGACAAGCATCTATTTATAATATATCTGAAGAATAAAAAGTGTTCAAACCATTTTCCTGATGTTCAAGTGTTAGGCTACCTAGTTAGATTCAGCCCTCCCCCAGCAATAAAATAAAATGTGCCGGTCTCATTACTGATGATTGCAGGGAATACAATGCCTCCCCATAGGGAGGTATTGTGGAAACTAGTGTGAATTCACTGTAATCGTTGTACTGCACCAATCAGCATCTCCTAACTTAGATGTATTGACTGTATGCTTGCCTGTGGGAAGATGCTGAATGTTGGTCCTGCAATCTTTGCAGGATTGCAACTAGGAAGTTCCTCTTTTGGCTCCACTAAAGGTGGAGTTCAGTAGCAATGTAAACATTGCCCTTTCTAAAAAAACAAAAAACAGTTTTTACTGTGCTGAGACTGGCACAGACAGTCTCTTCCAAAACCGATTGATCACAAACGGTATGCATAGTGATCAATGTTTACGTGCCATAGGAAATTAAGTTATTTAGAAGAAAAACAAGGCATGCAGGTGACAATTTATTCTCTTTTAAAATCTTTATCAAGACCAAAGCAATTCATAAAGCACATGTACTCAGTTCCCTACTGGTTTGATTGATTCCAGCTAGTGTTTAGTAATCAGATCCAATGTCTTAATGTAGGTATAAAGTGAGAACTGGCTTGTGTTAAAATTGAGTAAATTACCTTCACCAACTGTGAAATAGATAACGTTGTCATCAATATTCAACCCACTTGTGTTAAAAACACCAATAGCAGGGGAAAATCCATCATGGAGAGAACAACCTCTGACATAGGATGAGTTTTCTGGAACCTTAAAAATAAATCAAAATTTCAAAAGCTTTAGATATACTTTCTCTTTCATATGCAAAACTCAAACAATTAATAGAGAGCACAAAGAAAATGACCTCTGCATTTAAAGTTAAAATCTATAGGGGAATATATCTTTATTATCTCTATTTTTATAGAAAATATATTACAAATAAGGCAAACAAAATAAATTAAATGTAATGTAAAAATAGGAAAATGGGAAAAACTGTTAAGTTTAATTTGATGCACTGTTTTGTGCATCTGTCTGCAGATGCAAACAGAAGCCTTGCGATAATTTGGAAGAATCTCATTACTTTTTAACTATCTTCATGCGTGGGGTTATAACATAAGTAGTTCCACTCATCACTGATATAAAATATACTACACATATAGCAACCATACTATATCCGTGTACACATTGCCTGGTTCAAAGTATACTATATCAGACTGTGCGTACCAGTTGGGGGAGGAATGGTCTGCCATGGGCAGTCCACATGTCAGATTTATCTCCTGGGAGAAGAGAGAGCTCAGTTCAAGTTGTGCCCCATAAACAAACTGTTCTAAATCAATTTTCCTAACCAGGGATTGAGATATGCACTCTACATCAAAGTGCTTACAGAAACAACACTAGCAGGTTTTCTTAATTTTCCTCATTGTATTTTAACACTAAGTAATATATTAAAAATGCATACATTATTTCAGGAAAGCAATTAAAATTCTAACATTGTCTAAATATAATGAAAAAATAATTACCACTCCAAGATTGAGAAAAGTGACATAGTATCGTGGATCGGATGGATCAGTGAAGCTTTTCTGACCACTATGATAAAATTCTACATTTTCAATTTTTGCACTTCCTTCAAAACATAAAAATTGTACAATGAAAAGGAAATTGAGAGAATGATCATCTTGTTTTTCTGAATTGATTTACACTCTTTATAACCAACCATTCTTACTTTTATTCCAATCTATTTTTCTTACTAACTCCTTTGTGTTCTCCTAGAATATTGAAAAATGCTTTTGCTATACTATGTCATAACGCCTCTCCCAAAATAGACCACAAATAGGGCCATATCGTCAAACAAAAAGTAGGCCGAAAAACATGGTCCTATTCCCCACCATGGTATTTTCGTCCATGTATAATGTACATACACTACCCCCTATATGATAAACACTTAAATACCTATATAATTAATATAACACTCAACTACAAAACATCAACATGACCCCATGTACCACTTATAAAATTTTAATAAACCACACTCTACTGAACATGTTCACATTCTTTACGGAATCAAATCTGCCGCATTCAGGTATAGATGAGCAGTTAGAGTAGCTCTCCACCCACCTATCTTTTTAATAATAAAAATAATTTTTTTTAAACAAGCTACTAATGCAAATCTGTAGCACATTATGCCTACACAAATAAATATACCCAATGAACATCATTTACTATACCTTTATATGTGATATTGTTGTTTGTAAAAGCACCAACAAGTACTCGAGCTCCGAATGACTCATTGTAATTCTCGCCAATTATTTGAATGTTTCTGCTCAACACTGCGACATCAGCTGCCAGAGTATAATTTGTTGTTGTGTTGTCGATGCGATAGGTCTCCCCTGCAAGTAAAATGCATTCAAAATGTGAATATTAGCGAGCCAGTTTTACCGGCCAGTCTTATTCTTTCATTAATAATTCACTGTAACTACTGATTACAGTGATTTGACTTTCATCACATGATGCAGATATGTTTTATAGAAAAAGAGAAATACATTTTGGTATTGTATATGCAGTGAATAATTAAAATCAAATGCTCCCTTTCCTGTCTTCAGAAAGTTAATCGTAATAATAATGCTAATTGCCTTTCCCTGCAATACAACCTAATTGATGGCTGAAGTCATCTAAACCTTAAATTGTACATAATATAGTTTATACATTAAACCCTAAATTGAAGCAAATTTAAACTGGAATGGTAAATGTAAGGTTAAAATAATATAAAATAAGTGATTGTAGCTGAACTGGGAATTATTCTAAATCATCGTACATTTTGCTATTTGAATTTTCATTTGCTACAGTTCAAAAGTTAGTTTATAACATAGTGAGAACGTTGTGAAAAGTGTGTAGCTTAAAAGGGCACTCCAGGCACCATAACCACTATTGTTAATTATTTCTTTCCATGTTGTTGTTTCTTTAAGTTGTTGCTGCTTCTGCCGCTGTTTTTATGAAACCACTGAAAAATTAGTTTACATAGGGGCTCAGTACACAATAACCACCATGACCACTACAGTGAGCTTCAGAGGCTATAGTAATTAAAGTGCTCTTTTAAATATTAGAAATGTATGTACATTCTGATTGGGGTTTAGCCGGTGGTCAGAAAACAAAGTCTATAGTGTAAACATATAGCAAACCAAATACTTAAAGAAAACATACAGCATTAAAAGATCAATAACTCCAAATAATATTTGTATTGTTTTGAAAAAAATGACATATCCACTTTCATTAAATATTTACCCCATTCAGACTTTGTCACTTACCTATGTGAGTAAAAGTGAGGGAGGCATTTAAGGTGAGGTTTTTGTGGTCATCGGAAATGCCAGAAATTTGTCTGATTTCACTCTGCGACGCATTGTAACTAGTTGTTGTTATTAGAATGTATTCTCCAACCTGTCAGATTGATAAATATTTAAAAAATAAAATAAAAAATTAGTTGTTTGTTTTGCATTGTAGTTTAGTTGAAATCTCTTGCATGTACATATGTAAAGATTTTTTTAACCCTTTCAGGACGGAGTCAGTAGTGCACGTTCCGATCACAACAAAACGTAAACAAAAACTGGAATTTGCGCTATACGTCTGTTCAACCGTAATTCACCGCTGTCACATTAAGTGCATCCACACTTATTATATATAATTTTATTCAGGAGAAACAGGGCTTTAATTTATCATTAACTATTCATATATGGAACATAATTTATTATGAATAAAATTAAAAAAAAAGTGAGAAAATAAGATTTTTTTTAAAAATAATTGTATTTCCATCTGACATTTTAGCTGTTAATGTCATAATACTGCAAACAAAATGCACATATTTGTAATCAGTGATGTTACATTGTAATCAGTGATGTTACCCATTAACAGGTTTTATGGTGTTTTGGAAAGTTACAGGGTCAAATACAGAACGTTCCATTTTCAAATTGAAATTTGACAGATTAGTAATGTTACCTTTGAGACAGTGTGGTAGCCCAGGAATGAGAATTACCCCCATAATAGCATACCATTTGAAAAAGTAGACAACCCAAGGTATTGAAAGTGGGGTATGTTTAGTCTTTTGTAGTAGCCACCTAGTCACAAACACTGACCAAAGTTAGCGTTCATATTTGTGTTTGTGTGAAAAAAGCAAAAAACTAATATTTGGCCAGTGTTTGTGACTAAGTGGCTACTAAGAAAGACTGGACATACCCCACTTGCAATACCTTGGGTTGTCTACTTTTGCAAATGGTATGCCATCATGGGGGTAATTCTCATTCCAGGGCTACCATACGCTCTCAAAGGCAACATAACCAATCTGGCAAATTTTAATGTCAAAAAATGAAATGCAAGCCTTATATGTGACTAACTTTCCAAAACACCATAAAGCCTGTACATATGTGGTACTGTTAATCTCGGGAGACTTCACTAAACACAAATATTAGTGTTTTAAAACAATAAAACATATTACAACAATAATATAGACCATAAAAGTGCAGTTCGTTTGTAAAAAATGCAAAAAACTTCACTTTTACTTAAAATATCATCGCTGTAATACAATTTATCATTTTGAAACACTAATATTTGAGTTCTGCGAAGTCTCCCAAGTAACACAGTACCCCCTATGTACAGGTTTTATGGTGTCTTGGAGAGTTACAGGGTCAAATATAGTGCTTGCGAATTAAATTCTTTGCACTTTCTCCCTGTGTTGTCAGGCATGTCAATCAAATTTTAATTATTCAAATCACATAATTATGTTAAAAGATTACTCAAATATACACGTAGAATTTTAATATATATGCATTTATAGGAATGTAAAATTTACGTGTATACTAATGTAATCTTTTATGTAATTATATGTATTTATCTATTTATATATTTGCGGTTATTTGTATTTTATATATAGATAGATATATACAGAATGTCATTCTAAGTTTATTTTGTTACCAATATATATATATTAATAACAAAATACAGTTAGAATGAAATTACATATGAATATATAATTTATATTAAATTTTGTTTCAATATTTTATTTATTTTATTATTTTATTTATTTATTATTGTAATTATACGTGTATATATATATAATATATGTGTATATATCTATTATATATATAATATATATACATATTATATATATGTAACGTCATTCTAAGTGTATTTTAATACTAATATATGTACTTATATTAATATTAACATACATTACGTATGATGTTACATATATATAATATGTATATATATATATATATTATATATGTAATAGATATACATATATTATATATATATATATAAAAATACTTTTCATTTATTTTAAACATGTTTAATTTTTTTATTTTTTTTTACTTCAGACAGTCCCCCTGCTGGCAGATCCACAGCCAGCTACAGGGGGCCATGTGATCGCTCTTTGGGAGCGATCACATGGCCCCTGGGGGCCTCATTTGCTGGGGGAGGGCTGCCTGGGCTGTCAGGCAGCCCTCCAGAAGAGGATCACAGCAGAGGTAAGTACCTCCGATCTCCAGGGGCAGAAAGCCCTTTAAATGCGGGACGGCATAGAACGCCGTAACGGCGTTAAGGGGTTAAGAAAATGCCCTTATATATTGGCATAATATTCCTTTTCCACAGCTCTGTATTACCGTATGGATAAATTAAAAGTATCAGTGACTTGTGCAGGCAATAGATTTTGACTTTACCAAAGCCTTTTCCCCTCAAAACATACATTTTTTAAGGATGCCTAAATCTCAGTCATATGTCGGTTTAAGTTGGCAGAATTCAGTACCAAAATACAAATTCAGGAAGTAACTAAAAAGTAACTAAAAGAAAATGAAAATGGCCCAATCAGAGAAACAAAAAGAAAATTGAAATTTCCCAATCAGTGTAGTGCCAAATATACACTATATAAATATACACTATATAACATAATAGTATTATTTATAGATTTTGCAGTAAACTGAAAGTAGCATTTTCATACTATTTGGTTCAGTGTTCAAGTGGGGAAAAGTAACCAATAGAGGGAGATGTGTAGCATAATAATAATAATAAAAAAATATATATTTATATATTTTAAATTTATGAAATACATGGTACGTTGCCGCTCGGAGTCCAAGAATTTCACCCATCACCCAATTGGGCTAAATTAAGATATATTATAGTTTTGACCGAAACAAAGTCTAGTGATAAATATTCGGCTGCGCTGTGATAAAATTCACAAGAACATATTTACCTTCCAATCTACTGGATCTGATAATGAAATGTTCGTAGACCCAGCTACTGCGGTTTGGGCCAGTTTTGTTTTATACACTGAACGTGGTAATCCATGAAGCTGCAGCTGGCCAAACACACCTGGACAAATAAAGTGCATGAATGAAAATTAAATACATCATACATAAAAGATACCATACACAGAAACCCCTTGAATGAAACCTAAAATGTAATACCCATTCCATTTTATTGTTGAAAGAAGGCTCTATTATTAGTCTAGCCTTAAACACATCCCCATAATTGAATGTTTACTGCAATAACACTGCTTTACCAGATCACTGGAGATCCATCTGACACTGTGATAGGTCTGATGAAGGTGCTTTACATAACATTACATATTATATTACAACTAAGAATGGTCTCACAGAGATCATTCTATAACCATGTAATGGATTCCTAACTAGGGTTTTCTACATATTTTGAGCCTCTGTAATAAAAAAACAACTTTTTAACTTTAATGAATGTAGAGAGACTTTTTTCCTTTTTTCAAACAATGCAAACACTTACAGAGTTATTTACTAACGTGAGAATTAAATTAATTCAATGTGAATATCAAATGAAAGGCCAAACTAATTGAACCGGAAAAATTAATTCACACTTTAGTACATAACCCTGTTAGTGTTGGGGTACAGAGCAGATCACAGACGGAGTTAAGATGAAGTTAAGAATATATCAATTCTGCTCATCCAAATATGTAGGAGATTACTGAGAAGGGGATCAAAGAATAGTTATTTGTGTATGCTAAATTGTATTCATGTGAATTGAAAATTAAATTTAAAGGACAAAACAACCAGATTGGAAATATTCTTAAACACAGCTTTTCTAACAGTTTGGCTATTTTAGACATAAATGTGAAATTCACTTTAAATTTGAAACAATTTTCACTTTATTGAATAGCCCTGTGAGACTCACAAAAGGGGCATTAAAACATTATTCACAGTATTTTTTCATTCCAGTGTTTGAGATAATATTGGATAGGGGAGAGATTGGGATTTAATATAGTTAAATAAATTATTGCTAAATATATTTAGGAGCAATATATTTAGCCAACATATTTGCAATAGATAAAGAGAACTTTACAATATATATATATATAATAAACAATTGTGCTTACCGATAAATTTTGAGCCAATGTTATTTCCACTTGGCAATGACATATTAGGACTTGATTGATTTCCTCTTAGGATAATCTTTAACTCTGCTAGGAAGGGATCACTTTCATTTCCTGCCATTAAGAGACCACCCTTTCCAAAAGTAAAAATAGTTACAGATTATAGAGTGCAAATATATCATTATAACAATAAGAAGATTTGTGGATGGATGGATGGACAGACGGATGAATGGAGAGAGTAGAAAATATATTGATTGTCCTTACCTGTATATATATATAGGTGGCACTGAGTATAGTTGGAATACTAGTAACGGCTCCATTTTTTTCAGTGTTTGTGAGGGGTTTTAACTCCAAGGCTCCATAAATAGTCAGTGTGTTCAATGAGGGCAGAGCAATGTCAGCCGTCACGTATATACCTAGCAAAGTAAGGACCATATTACTAATGAGATCACATTATAATTATAGCTTAAGCTCGCTATAGAATGACAATTCTAAAAATAATTGTGACTCAGTTCTGAGTAATTATCTACAGGCACATACTCATACGTACAAAGCTAAGTAAAATGATTACTCCACATAAATATACATTTCAAAATTGTCAGTGCCAAAAATGACAGTGTCAAAACTGTGAGTGTGCCAGACAAATTAACAAAGATTAGAGAGAAAGTAATTATGGCCATTTTTATTCCTGCATTCTTTAAATACTATTACAATTGTTTAATTGCACTTGGAAATATTTTCTTTGATGCAGGAAGCAGAGAGTTAGTGGCATAGGCCAGAGAAGATAGATAGATAGATAGATAGATAGATAGATAGATCGATCGTATACAGTATGTTGCTCACATTATGTGCATGGTAAATGTCAAATCATTAGTTATGGAAATATACAAAATGTGTCTAAAACTACATTATATATATATAATGACTGGTGTGCAGATTTTTGTTTAGCATTGTATTAACTATCCTTATATATATATAAAATGTTTATATTTATTGATTACATTTTTCCTTAAAGTATATATTGAAAAGATTATTACAAAGTACCTGAAGGGATCACAACATTTGATCCTGCTTTTGGGACAGTATTGTTGTTTTCTGCAGATGAATTCCAGAAGGTTTCATTGGACCATGACCTAGTAAACAATGTAAAGATAACATAAATAAAATACACCACGCAGAAAAAACAATTAAAAAAGAATATAATAAAAAGAAAAAAGATTTCCTTCCTAACCATGAGTCGAATAATCTTCAACTAATCTTCTATAATTTTTGTCTCATTAGAGATATCTTTGCCAGAAGCTCAAGAAAGCAAGGTGAATGGTTAGAGTTAGGACCCACCTAAGACGTCTGCCTTCACGTGGCAGGTGGGCATACCCTCTCATGGCCATTGGAGGTAACTAAAAACCTCAATTTGTTTAAATATACATAGGGATTTGGGAAAGAGCACAGGTAACTTTTTTTCTTTCATCTTCTATCATGTCTGACTTCATATAGGAAATAATTGCCCACATTATTATTTCATGCCATCCTTGCCATGAAACAAGTAGCCCTACTGTGAGTTTTCTACAAAATGTAGTAAAATTTAGTATTTTCTAAAACCTACACATAGGTGTTGAAGCTTGTAGAAGTTCCATCTACGGAACGTCTGTGAACTGTCTTCTTCTCAGTTTCTAAAAAGACAAAACACATTTATAGTATATTAGGGGTGTCTCATAAAAAGTCAGCTTCTCATATAATTTATTTAATACACTAATTTCGCCAATTACATAACATACATCACTGCACACAGTTTTGCAAGCAGAGTCACTGTTGATGTAATGAAGACTTCTCAAGAAGTTGCAACACAGGGGCTAGAGCAGTTCGCCAAAAACATCAAAGTAGTCTAGAACTATGTTCACTCATAGTTTTCCCATGTATAATTTATATTGAGGTTTTCATAGAAAGTACAATGAAGATGAAATCACTTCTGAACTAGTGGGTGGTTTTGCACATTTCCAAGCAGATGCAATCCCCATTTGAGCTGCTAAAAGAATATGTAATAACAACTTTATTACTCTTAAGGCCCGGTCACAAACTGGTACTGTAAGCACAGCAAGTAAATTCTGCTCAGCCAAACCATTTTGACCAAAGATAGAAAATTTTAGGAACACTCAAAATTCTGAGGAATGTCCCTTCAGCTGGGCAGAATTTTGGAATCAAGATTTTAAGTCAGGAAATGAATCAGAAAAACATAAAAGAAGTGAAAATGGGCCAATCAGTGTGCTGCAAAATATATACATAATAAGACTATGGATATATTTTGCAGGACACTGACAGGATCTTTTCCCACCAGAGCAAGTGAGAAAAAGTAAAAAATAAAGGGAAAAACAAGAGGAGCAAAAAAAATAATCTATGGATATAAATATATAATATACAAATATGGATTTTCATATTTTACTGCCCCCTCCTTTTTATCCTTCTATTGCTCACTTTTCAATTGATCACTGAATAAAATGAAAAGTTAGTGACAGTCCCCTAGCCATCAGTCATTTTTTCCCCCCTTCAAGTATCTCTTTGTGGTGCTATGGGCAGAATTAAGAATCATGAACCAAAATGAACAATTTGCCATTGAGCTTTTTGGTTGGTTCCCAATTCGGGGTTCAGAATTAGTTCAGTGTTTCAGGAATTCGACTAAAAGGCAATCACCCAATCGGCAAAATACAGATGAATTACAGTTTGGCCCAAATCAAATCTCCAAGTTTAGTAATTGGTGGAGCACTTCACTTATAAGGTAATAGTCACATTGGCTAATAGAGCACGCACTAACCCTACTAATGGGCCACCCAAAGTTATCTGACTTTGTCTCATTTTTTTCCTATTATCATTAAATGTTAGTTAGTCAGTTAGTTTTTATCCTGGCCCCCCTGATTATTCCAATTTTCCTTTTCTTGTTATGTCCCAGGTCTTCCTCATGTAATTGTTTAAAAAATAAAATAAAGAATTTTGAAAAAAGACTGCATATACAACATAACTAAGCATGCACATTCTCCCCACCACACAAAAACTGTTATATGACCCATGTGCCATCAACATTCTACTGACCATCCAATGTAATTTCAGTCCCGATTTCACTATTGCTTCCGACATTTGAAGAAAGTCCAAAAACCATTGGTTTTTCATCTGTACAGAAATACAAGGAAAACAATGTTGGTGTTGTTTGGGAAATCATGCACTTCTAAGTCCACCTTTGAATGCCCAGGGATAAAATAAAGCATGTATGGCAAAAGAGAGGAAAACAGAGAGAGAAAGAGATGGGTTCTGGATAGAGTACATATGATAGATGGAGGAGAAAGCAGTAGATGGATAGACTTATGGGGAGATGAAGACATAATAGATTTGAGGGTGGAGGGATGAATTGAGTGGATAGTGGCAGGGCCGGTGCAAGGATATTTGCCGCCCTAGGCAAAAGTAAAGTTTGCCGCCCCCCATGTGACATCACAATGCCCCACCCATATGATTTGCCATGTTAACTAACGCCAGTGCTGCAGTGCCGCCGTGTTTACATTGAAAGGCATGGAGGGACAGACTATAGACACCAGAACCACTACATTAAGCTGCAGTGGTTCTGGGGACTATAGTGTTTATTTAATGTGAGGTAAATTAGAGATTAGTGCCATGAATAATATACTAGATTGCCTACTTACAATCAGATGAGGATGATGATGGGCTCTAGCTGCAGTCTGGAGTGTGTAGGGGATGTCCTGATATGTGTGTAAGGAATACATTGTGTGAATCTGTGTTTGTATGTGTATGGGCTGCAAGGTGTGTTTCTGTGTATGTATGGGATGCAGTGTGTGCGTCTGTAAGGGGTGCATTGAGTGTGTGTAAGGGGTGCATTGAGTGTGTGTAAGGGATGCATTGTGTGTTTCTCTGTGTGTAAGGGATACATTGTGTGTAAGGGGTGCATTGTGTGTGATTGTGTGTGTGTGTGTGTGTGTGTGTGTGCGTGATCGATGTCAATCTCTCCCCCCTCCCTTGTCACTCTCTTCTCCCCCCCTCCTTTGTCACTCTCTTCTCCCCCCTCCTCCCTCTCTTCTCCCCTCCCCCTGCCTACTCTCATTCCCCCTCCCTCCACCTGTCAATTTCTCTGTCAATTTCCCCCGTCAATTTCTTTCTCCCCCCTTCAATTTCTTTCTCCCCCCTTCCATACCTCTATTGTAGCGTGGCCGAGCCCTGTATGGTCCGCCGGTACATGGAGCTTTTGTTTCCTGTACCCGGCCAGACTAAAAGGAAGTGCACAGGAGACAGATGCTCCCTGTACCCGCTGACCATACAGGGCTCGGCCACTCTACAGTGAGGAAGTGACTCAGTGCGCACTTCCTGTTAGTCCGGCCGGGTACAGGAGACAAATGCTCCCTGTACCCGCGGACCATACAGGGCTCGGCCACGCTACAGTGAGGGAATGACAGGAGGGAGCGCTGAGCGCTGAGCGCTGAGCGCTGAGCGCTTCCCTCCTGTCAGCCCCTCTCCTCATGGACGCACCAGCCCAGGCAAAGCTGCAGCCGCCTGAGGTTCTCTGCAGAGCGCTCGAGCAGCTGCAGCATGAGGGGGGCCGGCGCTCCTGGCGGCGCCCCTTCCCAAGGGGCGCCCTAGACAGCTGCCTAGTCCGCCTAACTGGTAGCGCCGGCCCTGGATAGTGGTTACTGGTTTGGTGGTCACTAGTTTGGTGGTTGGTTGGATGAATGGATGGACAGACAAACAACAGACAGAAGGATGGAATGTGGTTGGATTTATGGGTAGGTAGATGGATGGAGAAATGATTGGAACCAGTCAATGTTGGTTTTCCCCCACCTACAGTGTTTAAATGAAATAACTTACATATAACCAGAAAGGCGATGGAAATAAGAAGTAGCTGATTCATGGTGCCAGCAGATTTTGGCTAGCACCAGCTAGCACCTAGAGAATAGTAAAAAAAAAAAAAAAAATTCACAATGAAATTTGTTCATTAATGTAAAATAAATATACATATTTCTAAGCACATTTCCCTATTGAATGTTTACAGTCATACATTTAGAGTATTTTGCGTACCCCTCAATTAAATTATCAGTAAGGGAAGTTATTGCATGGTTCCCAAGCAATACTAATTTATCAGCATTTTCAAAAATATACCTTTTATCTGATATCTATTAGCTTTAAATTTGTGAGTATAGAGCACAGAATAAAATATGAGCCATGCATACAATAAACATGGGAGAGGTTCTATTATTAAATCTAATTAGTTTGGAGATGAAGAATACTGATTTCCTACAAAAGAGGAGCATTGGGATACAAAAGAGGCACAGAGGGAATTTTATAAATAATTTGCTCACTTTTGAAAGAAATGTAACTGTTAACTGATTCAATGATGCACTGATTGTGAGAATTAGTACAATTTAACTTTCATTTAGCCTCTGCAAAAAAAGTTCTAATTTGGCTGATACTACCCCACAAACTCAAATGTATTGTCAGTTATTGACAAATTAAACAACAGGCTTTTTTTAACTTAAATGGCAAACAGGGTTATTCATAAAAAAAGTCAAAATTGTATTAAATAGAAATAGAAAGACAAAATGACAGACAGTAGACTAACAGACAGACAGACAGACAGACAGACAGATCTTGTACAGTATGCTGTTCACATTATGTTCATGGTAAATGTCAAATCATTAGTTATGGAAATATAAAAAAATAAGAGAAATAATCACAAGTGCAACAATATTTGCTATAATTGTTCTTACAAGATCAAATGAAGCTCTTACAGGAGAAGTGCAAATAAACCGAGGAATGAAGATATGTACATAAAAATGTTTTGTTTTTTTTTATTTATTTTTTTATTCCTACACTCAAAATATTCTAAACATGGAATTACTGTGGTCTAAAAAAACTGAATTGTTATATTTAGGACTAATGTTATCCAGTTACAGTAATGAAGTAGACTACAGATAAACTCCTATAATTATCATCTGATATTTAAATAGTGCTGTGAATAAGTTGGTAAATGAAAAAGCATACATATACATAGATTTTTTATATATATATATATATATATATATATATATAATACACAAGATCCAGTGCAGTCATCCACTAAACAGCAACTTCAATGCTCACAGATTTTTTAGTTATTTTTGTTTTTTTAAAAACACGTAATCTAGTAGGCAAATATAATGGGGGTTTAGTTACAGTATATGATCATACAATGCATAAGCCTTCCACAGCATCAATGTACTCCTTCTTTGGCAGGTCCTACTCTAACAGCCTAATGTCTGCTCTTATAAGTTTAACCCACTTAATTGGGGGGAAAAAATCCATCTGGGGCTCTCTGCAGCACAAGGCTAAATAGGGCCCTGGAATGTGACCGGGAGGGTTGCAAAATCAAGGAGTTGGCTAGACTCCCAAATATATATGTGAAACCAGGGGGCTGCACTCACCTGTGACAGGCTTATGCATTGTATGATCATATAATGTTACTAAACCCCCATTAGTTGCCTAGATTAGCAGTTTAAAAAAAAACTAAAAATAATTATAAAATCTGTCAGCTATGAAGTTACTGTTTAGTGGATGAGTGAGTGCGCTTGTGCATTGTATAAATTGGACTCAGCAACACACCATTTATGCATGTTTAGGTGCATATTGGTATATATATGTTTTGGTTTTTTTTCAAGCAATTTACACTTTAATCATGCATTGCTATTATGCTCTTAGCTTTACAGCTCAGTCCTGATCAGATCTTCTTACCTGTTGATGGGGATTACAAGTTCTCAACACAGCAGACCTCACACCTTCCACCTTCCCTGACCTCAGACTGGACTGTCTCACTGACTGGGCTGACACCCCTATTTATATTTCAGCTCTCAATGGTAACTCGATCACAGGTCACTTTTTGTTTTGGATGTCTTGGAGACTAACATGATTTACTTGTCAGAAAATTGGATTTGTCTTGTATGAAAAGCAGTTTTTCCAGAAAACAATGCCTTCAAATAGAGAGGTTGGGATAATTATGGAGCCTTCAGTCCTTCATTCACAGTGATGTCTCCTTACACTATTCATTTGGTAACAATGACCAAGCTGCACTTACATTGTAATTGTCACATCCAGCCACTTTACTTAGTGTTTTTACTACTCCTTATTGTGCTTGCACAACTTGTTTAAGGATTTTAACCTTTTTGTAAAACTGTGTTGAGGTCTTACTCTCGTTGCCTCTGTAACACTTCCACCAAACACACTGTTCGATGTTATTGTATAAACACAGTAACCCGGTAATAGTTTGACTTATTTGGTGGGATTTTCCATTCTTGCAGAAATGTTAAAGGGCATCCAAAGTCTTAAACTGCTCACATTCTTTATAATGAGTAAATTCCTAAAATTCCTGTGATTTTATCTATATATTCAGAAATCAATAATTATGCAGAATTATATATTGTTACAAAGGGTAAAACGTCACTAGCATCAGGAATGGCCTACTTGAATTTAGTACATTATTTATAACAAACCACAGAATTTTTTGCAAATTAAATCACATGGCAAAATTGAAGGTAAAATAATGGATATGTGGAAAAACAAAGTTTAGCGAATAACCATGAGAAAACGTTATATTTATTCCTAACATTTTATTCAATTAAAAGTAGTAGATGTTTTTTTTTCCCCTCAGTCGATTTAATCACATTCTGCATTGATTTAGTGAATTTATGGACATTTCACAATTTGTATTTTTAATTTGGAATGTGGAAGTAAAGTGTGTATCTAACAAAATTTAGATTTTTAAAATATGTCACGTTTGTTAGAAAAATACTTTATTTTTATTTTTTAGAGTTTAGTCTGTTAAAAGGATGCTATGAACACCAATAATACTTCAATGCATCTGATTAATCCACATGCTTACTGCTGGCTGCAGACAGTCAGTCAAAATAACCTATGTTTAGGCTAATCCAGAAACTGACACTCTCTGTCTATTACTGACCTCCCTTCATGAGTAAAGGATACAAATGTACATACATTTTTTGCAGTTGGGCAGCCAATGCTGCACTGAGAGTTCAGCCAATCACTGCTGCCTTCTTACTGTTCAAACTAGTGCATTTGAGTTAGCACAAGTATAAGGGAGAGACCAGTTCTTAGGAATACATCTTTGGTGTTAAACCATTTAACAATATTTGACTGTAACAGGGGGCTTCCTGGCATAACAACAACTTTATTGGGATGAAGTGGTTTGACTAAAACTGGAGGTCTCAAGGCTGCCACGGTCTGCTTAACTCTCACCATATTGTTATTGCAGAATTCCACTAAGTAATGCAAATTTCAAGAATATTCTAAATCACAGGCTGATTGGAAATGTATTAACAGTAGCTGATCAGAGGACTGGGACACGGTGACAGTGTAAACTTTTTAAAAGCACTATAACCTCCACATTGGTATTTAGAGTTTATGGCGCCTAGACTGCTCCTTTAATTATGCACTGTCAATGGTTACACTATCACTAAATGAAAGTCAGGTAATCAAAGTCACATTCCGGGTGAATGGCAAACAAAAAACAACAGGCATTACATATTAAACTTGTGCACACCCAAAAAATTGGATCTGGCTGAATCAGTTCGTCAAAATTTTTTTGTTGGGCAATTTTTTAATAAAATGCTCTCAACCAAGTTCTCAAAATGTTCACAGGGATAGGAGAATGTTACAAAGTTCCCCCTATCTGCTACCTTTTATTACTTTGTTGACCAACCAACCCTACCTGAGGAGTGTGCCCCTTATTAACCACCCAGGAGTTGCGGTTTTGTGGTTAGCCGCAGCCTAATTGGCAGCCGACAGGGTGGTCGTCGTTCGTATGCACGAACACGTAGCGGCGGCCATCTTTAACTGCCGAACGCCCAGCGGGACTTGGTCGTTGACCGTCTGGTACTAACTTCGGTCACTATTTTATATGAACCCTGCTGGGATTCCCCATGCTCCGTCCGTTCGTGCATAAAACACTGTGCTGTTTGGTATTTCGAGACTAGGAAAATTATACCGACCCTATGCAGGACATTATGAAAGAGGATGTCTAGGCTGATAGTTGCCGAACAGCCATAGAGACAATCTTTATCCCCCTGGCAATTCTATGCCATTCGTGAGATCTGAGCGCTGTTCGGATATCTTATGCGCTCAGATCCAAGCTGTATAATTTAAAGAATATGAAGTATGAGTTATAGATTTTTATGTAGTTTTCATGTATCTGTAAAAACTAGAATATTGCCTGTAACTGGAGATAATTAAGTTACTGTAACTGTTGAAAACTAATTATCTCCAGGATAGAGGGGAGGGTTTGAAAAGATGCACTTTGTCCTCTTTGGTTGTTGTCGCTTGTCACCCTGTTGTAGGGAAATGCTGATCGCTACCTCTGCTAAGAGCTAGCTGGATATTCTACACTTACAGGATTATCACTAGATGCTGATTTGGAGTTTCTACCGCTCTCCAGGATCGGGGACAAGGACATCCAAGTGGTCCAACCCTCAGCTAGGCTGAGGCAAGCATAACAGAGAACAAACCAGCTACATACTTATGTGTTAGGATATCTGGGATAAAAAGATCTAGAGCTGTTACAGTGTGTAAATTGATGTTGGTTATCATATTGAGCCTTTCATTAAAAGTGATCTGTCACTTCCAGTGATTTTGTTTCTACAATGTTTACCCCTAGATTTATAGGAAGCCAATGTCATGACTGACAGAGGAGGGAGGCATGGGAGGTGTGGGCGGACAGGAAGATGAGCCTCGCCACCGCATTCATTATAGACTGCAATGGGACAAGCTGGGAACACATAAGACCACTGATATGGGGATTGCAGTGGTCAGGGCGAGAGAGAAGAATGGCATAAACCAGGACCTGAGTCGCATCCTGCATTAAATAGG